GGGTGAGGGTGTAGGTGCGGCTGAGGTGGTCACCGTGTTCTCAAAACAGGTAACGTTACTAAAATAATTATAAGGTCTTCTTCTAAAGTTCTAAACTACTTTTCCTTTATTATGCATGCCTAATTTATTTGTCCGAATCGCTATTTTCCTCTAATATTAACATGATATTGCAATTAGTGCTAGTTTCAGCTTTACACTACAAAGTTCTGGCTGCTTTTTAAAGAAAAAGCTTTTGTTCTTCTATTACAAAATTTTCGACCAATTTTCGTATCGACCAATTATCGGCGACTAATTTTCGTTCGACCAATTTTCATTCGACCAATTTTCGTAGACCCACAAGCATTTTATGTCATTTTGAATCCGAAACAGCTGGACATTCGTCTTGAAACTTTCTTTCGATTGTATTCACCGACAACCTTAATAAAATTAATTATTAAATAAACGAACTAAACTAGTTTTATGATGAATTTTGAAAACCGAAAGAAGATCACGACGGTATAAAAAAATTCTATTCTACATTTAGCCGTTTACCGATGCACATTTAATAGCATTATTAAAACAAAATGTAACCTCAACACACTGTACGCAGACTTTCAGTTGATTGAATCATCTTTTGTTGTTTTCAGTCCGTTGAAACCCAAATTATTCATTGTATCGTCGTAAAATTCTTTACAATCGCTCTTGAAACAAATCTTTAATTATCTAATTACGTTTTCACCTTAGATATCACGAAAAAAATTCTTAAGTGCGATTAATTATTTTTCTTTCAAAGAATTCCCATCAGGGATAGTCGCTGAAGCTAAAAGAAAGCTTAATTTATTGGATAGATCAGACGCCAAGATGCTTAAAGGATTTCAGGGCGTAAAGTTTATTGACGTTTTTCAGAGACGTCAACTATGTCAGGTTGGCCACACAGATTTTTTTCACCTTTTTCATATACATCATTATGAAAAGTGCTCGACGTCATTATTGTAAATTAATTACATTTTGATCCTTAGACCTTATTTATTTTTATCGTATTATTTTATAATGATATTCATTCAGGCAATTTACAATATAGATGCGTGATATACGTAGAATTTAACTGTAACAAATCTAACGGGAAAGGAAAGATTTTTCTAATTTTAATTTTCTTCTTTTTTTTTAAAGCGTTAAAATAATAACAATTAATGATTGTATAAAAATATGTCCACTTGAAACAAATATAAACCATGCGGGCGGATGAAAATCATGTTTGTCATTTTGTATAAAATATAAAAGAAGAAAATGCACAAAAAGCCAAATCAACACAACAATAAGTGGTAATAGAAACGCTGCTGATTTGTTTTGAATGGATCCATATGCTGTACAACCACATGCAATTAAAACTGAAATAACTGTCAAACCATGTAGAATACGGCGCGACATTCCACTTGTACCAACGTCCCCGGTCGATTGTTCTGTGCCCGTATAAAAACCATTATTTGTTTTCGGACCGACTAAATGTAGTTTTTCGCCATTCATTATTTATTTTATTTCGTCGTATGACGATAAGAATTGGGAAACAAAAAGAAATTTTATTCAAAAAAGAAATATTCCAATTAACTTGTAACTATCTAGAGTCAAAAGAGATCGTGTTAAAATATATTAATAGGTTTAGAAAAATGTTTCACTATGCCATTTTTTTAAAAATAACTAAGAATATGCATATAAAATAGTACCTAATTTAAGATTAAATCAAGTACTAATGAAAGGAAAAAGTCTTAAATAGAATATTAGAGATGAATAAAACAAAACTATTGTTATTGATAGAAAAACTTGAGTTGTAATATACTGTTGATGTTATTATTTTTACAATGTTACTCATAAATTCTAAATGTTTTATTTTTCTTATCTTGCTTGTATGCAATCTATAGGTGGATGATATGATATTAGAGATGACGACATGAAACAATTTATATGCACTTTTTTTTTGCAACAATTAAGACTTAAAATAGATTATTACAGATAAATTCATCTAGGTCAGCGACTATGAATAATAAATTTCTTATAACGTCATGCTCAAACATTTAGTTCTGTTTGTATTGCATAAAGATAGAATTTCGTTATCTATTTTTGTAAATAATTCGAAATTATTGTTTATTGGTATTTGAAATTTCAATTCTACAATCGTAACTTTGTTGAACATAGATACTTTTGGCACGCTGAACAAAATGCTATGGATTGATTGATTTGTAGGAGTGCGACATCTACTTTGTATGAAAATAATTAATTACAAAATCCAATAGCAGTTTTACCCACTACTTCTTCATTGATAACCCATGTAAAACAAAACCTATTTATTTAGAACTCATTGCTTGTATATGATTAGTGGAGTTCATTTGTACAATCAACAGTAAGTTACGGCTGGTAATAACGCTTCGCTGCTAACTATTCGATGTCATGATGAGTATTGCAGAATTTTTTTCTTGTTCTCTCTTTTTTTTTTTTTTGTTTTAGAAAAATAAAAGGCTTTGTCATGCTAAACGGGCATTCACAAGTAGATACTAGTGGGATCGACGAACTCGATGGGTTCCTCGCTTTGAATAATTTGAATGAATTTGATATGGGCACATACATAATGAAACTTCTATCAGGTGGTTCCGATCGCCTCTATCAATTGAAACCTAGTCGAGCTGCTCGTCTATTTGATACAATGAATATGTATCGAAAACAAGAATTATTTTGCGATGTCAGTTTATGTGTCAAAGGTCAACGATGTTTAGCACATAAAGTTGTTTTAGCATCAGCATCATCTTATTTTGCTTCCATGTTTGGCCAATCGGGTCATATTGAAGCACATACAACAGAAGATATTGATTTAACTGAACTAGTGCCTTGTCCTTATGCAATGAATATTATATTAGATTTTCTTTATACTTCACAAGTACAACTCAATGATAAATGTGTAAGTGAAATAATTTAGATTATTATCTATAAGAATATATATATATATATATTTTCAAAAACAAAAATGGTTATTTTTTTATGAGAATTTTCCAACAAGAACAAAAATAGTAATTATTTTCTTACGTTTGCAGATTTTTTTTCTCATATACATGTAGATATAAACATAGGATTTATTTGACACGTTCATTTAATTATATTTTTCAATAGGTTATGCCAGTATTAACATGCTCAATTCCATTATTACTTGACGATCTAATTGAATTATGTGTTGCGTATCTTCGTGACCAATTACATGCATCTAATTGTGTTGGATTATTATTATATGGAAAGCAATATGACTGCAGTTCGTTAATTGAAGCTGCTCAACATTATATTCATGAACATTTTGAAGATGTCGTACGGCACGAAGAATTTCTTTCGCTCAATTTTCATGATTTATGTTCATTAATCAAAGATGATAAACTTAAAGTTAAATGTGAATCTATCATTTATAATGTAAAATCTGAAACAAAACAAAAATAAACTTTTCGTTTTTTATGTATAATTATGAATTTATATTATTTAGGCTGTTATGCAATGGGTTCGTCATGATCCATTAAATCGACGTGCTGAACTTCTAGAAATTTTACCGTGTATTCGTCTTGAATTTCTTGATCCATCTTTTCTCAAAGGTGTTATCAATTGTGACGACTTTACACCACCCGATATGCAACGATGTCGAGATTATATAGCAAGTGCATACGACAATTTAACATCACATCGCTACTGTCATTTGCCACCACATCGTGCACCGATTAAGCCACTGGTTATCTGTATGTGACGAGTATTATTTAATATATGTTTTTGTTTATTTAATGAACTAGTTTTTAGATTGTGCTGGTGGCTATTTTAATAAATCCATTAATACAATGGAATGTTACTTTTTAGAAACACAAAAATGGAAACGATGTGCAGATTTGCAAGTGTCAAGGAGTGGAGTTGGCGTTGTTTCTCTTCATATGCGTGTGTATGTTATCGGTGGAAAATGTAATATAAGGTAAATAGTTTTATTCTTCATTTCATAAGATCATTGAATGAAAATTCACAAAACGAAAAAAAGGTTCTTTTTTACTCAATTTATAGAAACGAAAATCGAGATTGTTATGAAGTTGAACGTTATGATCCATTTGTAAATAAATGGACAACAATTGCTCGTATGATTTATGCTCGTAATCGTCTTGGTGTTGGCACAATTGATCAGTGTATTTATGCAGTCGGTGGTTCATCTGGTCAACAATTATATTCAAGTGTTGAACGATATTCAGTATTATCCGATTCGGAAGTGTGGACTGAAGTTGCTTCTATGCACACGCCACGTATTGGATTAGCCGTGTGTACACATAGTAGATTATTATATGCTATTGGAGGTTTTGATGGACATCGACGATTGACTGATGTTGAATCCTATAATCCTGATACGAATATATGGAGACATGAAAAACCACTTTTAGTTGGTCGATCTGGCGCAGCTGCTGCTTCTCTTGCTGAATGTATATATGTTGTTGGTGGTTATGCTTCTGATAGCGTTGACGGACCTATGCAACTTGATGTTGTTGAACGTTATAATACATTAACACAACAATGGTCGCTTGTACAACCACTTAATTGTCGTCGATCAGCACTTAGTTGTGTTACACTTGATAAGCAACTTTTTGCTTTAGGTGGTTATGATGGAAAACATTTTTCATCCGTTGTTGAAGTTTATGATCCTGAAAAAGACGAATGGACATTTGGAACATCTCTAACCAAAGAACGAAGTGGACATGGTAGTGCATTGACAGTAGAACCAACATTGGAAAATGATGAATAATCAAAACAATAAGACACATATATAAATATAAATATATATTTTCTTTCAGTATGTAGATAAAGATGTCAACCAGTGTGTATTTTTATTTTTATTTTCAAAAGATAATTTTTTCATTTGTTATATATATGCATATACTAAAAGAAAAACACTTTAATTTATATTCCAAATATTATAAATACGATTTATTAAATGAATCATGAAATTCGTTTTGTTTTTTATGGAAATGTTTTGTTAATACTTCAGCCGCTTAGAATGATATGACTATAATGATTTATTTGAATGGTAAAATATTTTTAATATATATATTTTTTGAACAGGATAATAAAACAAAAGGAATACAATAGAAGTTTGTTTTATTAAAAAATATTTTTCAAATAATCGCTTTTTCATAATCTAATTATATTTAGTCAATTGCATTACAATTGATTATAAGAAGACACTGGTTAGTAGATGTCGATGAGATATTCAGTAAAGTTGATTATCATACTGAAAGAGTCACGACACCAGCTCCATTATGATCATTGGTATCTTATTACGCAAATCGAAACTCTCATCTTCTGAATCGCTACATTACTTTAAAACGACCAATCCGCCATCGACAGAGCCCATCGTTTCCTTTTTAATATTCACGACAGTCAACGAAAACATTCAGTCCTACAATTACACCAGCACCTCATTTTTAATCCTTATCATCATTTTGTTTTTCATCCACACCCTAAACTATTCCCACGACCAAAGTCGTATTTTGTTTTATTCTTGTCGCAAAAACAGAAATGCGATACCTTTCATTGACTAAGTCTTGTGCCAATTTTTTTCGGGAAAAATCATACTTCACTAATGCAATTCAACCCGTATTTAATTTCTTAGATAAGAAATAATAGACTGTACATAAAACAATTAGAAAAACTACTATCCTTAAACACATTGCTCTTAAATTAATCAGCAATTGAAGAATCAAAGAAGCTTGTTGCATTGTAGTCTTCGAATAGAGTTCTCTATTCATCATTGACATTAAATTAATGTTTCGCTTGCACAATTGATAGTATTCGTAGAAACACTGGCAGCGCTCATGTTCTAATTGATCACAATAAACTGTTTTCTTAAAGCATTTACAACAGTAGCCAATTATTATAATAAATAGACATGTTCCAGAGATACCTATAAGTAATAACAAAGCCAGATTCTGATTGCAGTTAGTACCATTTTTATAACAACTCCAAACATTTTCAAAGCTTTCTTCATCTTTAAAATAAATAACTATCATGTTCCAAAATAAATCATTTCGTCGTCGATCATATAAAACGATTCCTTTCATCTGTTCTCGTTTTATTCCAGCTTGGTGAGCCATAAATCCATTGATGAAAACATCATCACGAAAAAATATAGGTACCGTTGAATTAAATATAGCGCCAATCAATTGATTCGATATTATATGTGACGGATATACTACTGCTGCACCCCATAAATAATCTGGTACGAAATCAATAGGAAAATCATCTACTGATACTCCACCCATACCTTCACGTTGAATATGTACTGATTTTTCGAACCAACCTTGAATGGAATCATTGTTAACCGTTCGATGCATATACACGATTAATTTATCGACATGAATAAGTACATCGTCATCGACATATAAAAGAAACTGACTATTTTTCGAACAATACCGATCGTACCACAGTAAAACACTTGTGGTTTTCAATGTTAAATTATAATAATTTTCTAGAATGTTGAATTGTAATAAGTCATGATATTTAAGGTCTTCGGCAATAATATCTTTTTGCAAATCAGGATCTTTCGGATAACCAATAGCATATAGAATAGGTATACTATAATATTCAATAATCTCTTTGGCCCATGTAGAACGTGTCAAATTTCTTTTTACAAAACCACTTGATTTCACAATAATTAAAAACTTATATTTTCGATTGTAACAAGTTTGATTTTTATCAATAATTAAGGATTGCTTGGTTAACTGTAGGTCTTGTTTGGTATGAATTTTCCCAAGACAATTTTCACATTTACTATTTGTTGATAATTTTGCATTGAAACAATAAACAAGAGAAACTAAGATTAAAATGATTTTCATCTAAAACAAATCGAATTCACTGGAGATTCTCATTAGTTAAGACTATTGATGATTGAACGTAATACGAGTTCCACAAAATCGGCAGCAATGAATCTACTGGAGTGATTGGAAAGGCAAGTCGTTAATTGGTTTTTGCCAAACGGTTTTGAACGTTATTCTATAATGGATGAACTACATGAAATAATATCGAGAACTCGGAGTAAGTAAATGAGAGAAGTTTTTCATGCTTCAAACAGGTACATGGTCACCGTCTCTCTGCTTATACGACTGGCAAACAATCAGAGAAAGTGTCATACAATTCTGCCGAAGAAAACTCAACAGTCACAGAGATTGCAATCAGTGAACTTTGGAAGTGCAATACATCTCCAAACAGTATCGCTGTGATGAGAATATTACAGAATTTAGACATAATATTTGAACTGAGAAGATAAATTTCTTCCTCAGCTTATCGGGCAATTTAAAACAGTACAGATTTGGACAAATTAGCAGTATAATAGATGAGTTTCTGAATTATTTTAAATATATGCACTGTCAGACATGTACCGCAACTAAATTATAGCTCCAACTATTTCTAAGTTTGAACTTCATCAAATGAGTTCGATTTTAGCTGTATTATATTAGAGGATTGAATCGATTCACTAAATGTATGTTAATCGTTGTCTCATGTTCTTGCTGTATATTAGCGTGGTTTTATAATTTAGACACAACTAATTAGTTATTTCTGCACACCTTTCCATCGGTACATTTATTCAATGAACTATCAATATTCAGAGACCTGACTGTTCCAGGTCGATTAGTGAAAATGGTTTATACATTTAGCATTGAAAACTCAGGACTCTTCAGTTACTTAATTCAGTCACGGTACAAATTGCTCTGCTCGATCCGTATCTAAACTATTGTCGTGTTAAGAGAAATATCATAACACAACATGTCAAAGAATTTAAGGTTAAGAATAGCTATCTATTGACTTCTAAAACGCCATTGAAGGCAACGAAAATGGAGTGCTAATTGAAATTTCGTGATACTAAAAACACTATTTAACAGTGTGGATAAAAGAGCAAAATATCATTCTGATAACGCAAAAACGAAATTTGAATTTTTGACTATTCTGGATGCAGAAAAAAGCAAACCGGACATTTTCTTCGTTGAAGGTCATCGATTGACCATGAAAAATAATTTAATTTGGGTAATTAAAAATGTGAAGTATCGAAAATTTGTTCTACTTTGTATTTTTACTAAATCATAAAGAGCATTTTCTATGCAGAGATAAGACTAAAGAGAAGCAGCATGATATAAAAAATTAAGTAGTCAATGCGTTATAGTAATATAGTTGAACCTAACTCAAAATATAAAAAGGACAAGCTCACTAAAACCAAATTGTGGAGTTCGATATATTCAATCCACTAAAGCATGAGCAAATATATATTCTTCACTTGTTGTTGCGGACGACATAAGTGACAGTCTAGATTTATTAAGTTGATTTTCTTTTTGTTGTTCTTATCATCCACATAAAGCATTTGTTAATAATGCAGATAAGAGAAGCAGTGCACTATCGTTCCTGCTGATTTTATCCAAGACGACCAACGAATTGTGTATACTCTTCTCCAGATTCTTAGAGTTACTATTTTTTTTCGAAGTCAAAGTATGTAAGAGTTTTTCAAAAGTTATCGAAAACGTCTCCTACTACAATTAATCTATTTTCAATGTAGTTCTTGGGATCTATTTGACTCAAGCTCGTTTGTGTATTCTGAAAGCATTTAAGTGCGTCGCTTTTTCCTTGACAAAAACACTTGTCGAGTATTAGAAAAAAAAAGAATGATCGCTGACACATGATGAATATTTTGAGGGTTGAAATTAAATTCGACTTAACAAAACTTCCTACTTACAACAACACTAAAATTCATTTCGTCGAATTAGGAAAAGTGCCACAAAAAAGCACTGATTCGCATCTATGTAGAACACCTGGCATCATTCAGACTCACAGGAAGTGCACGTTTGAATCGTCATCTCAGCAGTAGTCTTCTGGATGAACAACGTCAATGAACTAAACTAATGTTTATTTCCACAGGGCATATTATACGAAAGAAAGTATGTATGTATCCAACTGCAAGCGGGAGACTAATTAATTTTTACTTCAAATTGGTATAATATTTCCATAGAATACGTTGAGACAAGCCAACTAGTCACGCCATAAGTTTGTTTCTTTCCATGCCGCCCCATTTTGCACTCTAATTAGACCAAATAATCTTAGTTTTTGTGATAATCGACGATATTATACAGTCGTATAGCTACATTTGTGACTAGTTGTTAATGTTTCAAATCAATATAAGATATTCCCCACAAACCGAGTCATTCTTTATTAATTGCTCAGAAATAAAAGGCAATGCCATTTCTTTCATCGGCTAAGTTGTGTTCCGAATTTTACGTACAAATTATGAATTGTGGTTATAATTTATTACGTACTTAATTTCTTCGATGATAAATAATACATTACACGTACGACTATAAGCAAAATTACGATTCTCACATACGTTGCTCTAAAATACTAAACTATCGAGAAAAGAAAAATATTTCATTGCAATTCTGTCTTCGAATATTGTTCTTTATTCATAGTTGACATTACATAAATATGTCGCTTACACGCATGACAGTACTCAAAGAAACGCTGATAGTATTCGTGTTTAAATAACCGCAATAAACATTTTTCATAAAGCATTTACAACAATAGCGAAATATTGTAACCAATAAAAATATTTTAGAGATACCTATTACCGGGTGTGGCAAAATTTTTGCGAAATTCTTTGTTTTGCATATATCTGTTTTCAGGAACGTGACACAAACATTGGTCTTTCTTTCACAAGACGTGCCATTGAATTCTCTACAAACTTCTACTTGTCTTATTTTAGAACAATAGAAGTGCACTTTTTTGCAAGTCATACTGTAGGATTATGTGAAACGATCGTTTGTCCCACACATTTTTCAGTATTTTATTCTTTTCGTGAAAGTAAAAATTCAACTCGTAAAACAGTTTACACTGCTAGTCAGCTCTTGAAATCCTCAGTCGCTTGCTTACATAAAAGCAGGTTTTTATGCCGTTTCCTTCAGTTAGACGTATGGTCATATGTAGATATCACTTATCATCAAACTGTTTTCATTTTTGCAGTATTTTGTAGGAAATTGATTTTATTTTCTATTCGCAGTACTAACGCGTGAAAAACAATTCTACTGGAGGAATCATTTGAATGGCGCCAAGAAGACCGTGTTCATTGTAGCAGATCAGATAGATCATAGTTCTGACAAAAAACATAGATACGATCAAACACTTACAAATAATTCTGAAAGAACATTCCGTATACATTCCAAGTACAATGAGAGAGTCCATTAGGTGTCTATTTTTAACGTGGAAAAAAGTTGGAGAAATAGAAAAAATGTGCGGGACTAACGATCATTTTACGTGATCGTACAATGTAACTTGTAAAAAATGTCAATTCTATTGTTCTAAAATAACACAAATAGAAGTTTGTAGAGAATTCAATGGCACGTCTTGTGAAAGAAAGACCAATGTTTGTGTCACGTTCCTGAAAACAGATGTATGCAAAACAAAGAATTTCGCAAAAATTTTGCCACACCCGGTAGTGATAATGATGCCAGATTTGTATCGTATTTGATAACATTTTTATAACAACTCCACGTATTTTCACGAGCTTCTTCGTTTTTAAAATCGATGACAATCATGTTCGAATCTAAATCATCTTCTATTGGATCAAAACAAAAAATTCCTTTCATATGTTCTCGTTTTATTCCAGCTTGTTGAGCCATAAGTCCGTTGATGAAAACATCATCACGAAAAAATATAGGTACCGTTGAATTAAATATAGCGCCAATCAATTGATTCGATATTATATGTGACGGATATACTACTGCTGCACCCCATAAATAATCTGGTACAAAATCAATAGGAAAATCATCTGCTGATACTCCACCCATACCTTCACGCTGAATATGTACTGATTTTTCGAACCAACCTTGAATGGAATCATTGTTAACCGTTCGATGCATATACATGATTAATTTTTCAAGATGAAGAAGAATATTGAACTGCTAAAATTCGTGATATTTATGATTTTCCGCAATAATATTGTGATGGATTCATCTGTCATACACTCATCGCTGAGAGCAGCGCCTCTCGTTATCATTATTCTCTTTCCTTCGTTGTTCTCTTTCTCTCTCTCTTTCGTGTGCACATATAAATACCCTTGTTCAACTGTTGTTCATCAGTCATTCTTAACTCAATCTTCTTCTCCTATCGTTTTCCTCCCTTTTTTCGTTGTAATCCTTTCATATTATATGAAAGAAGAAATCACAAGCAACTCAAAACCGTTACAAATATCTTGTTGTATAGTAGGATCTTTCAGAAAAAACAATGGCATATAGAATAGGTATATTAAAGTGTTCAATAATTTCTTTGACTCCTGTAAAACGTGTCAAATTTCTTTTCATAAAACTGACTGATTTCAAAATTTAAAAAAAACTTACACTTTCGATTGTGACAAATTTGATTTTTATCAATAGTTAAGGATTGTTTAGTTAACGGCAAATCGTGTTTCGAGATAGAAGACTTGAATGTGTTAAGACCATTGATGCCCGAATCTAATGCGACTTTCTTAAAATCGGTAGCAATGAGTTTATTTGAGTGATTGAAACGGCTAGTTATTGGCTGACTTTTGCAACAGGAGATCGAGCGTTATTTCGATATGCATGAGTAAAATAAAATAATATCAAGAACTTGACTTGAATAAAGGAGAGAATCTTTTCATCATTCAAGTACGTTTATTGGGATACCCTCTTTCCTTTTAATGGTAAAAAAGGCTGGGAAAATATTGTATCATTGTTCGAAGATAAATCTAAGTTACCAAAATCTTAATAACTTTTATATGAAGAAGACAAAGACTTTCGTTAAGTGCTAGATAAAAATTAAATATCGTTTTAAGCAAAGCAATGATGTTCGAGTGAAAACGCTATCGATATTTACTTGATGTATGCGTCTACTTGCATCTACAACGAATTATTGCGGTCGAATAATCGAAATCAATGTGAACAATGATCAACTCTAAAAGAAAACCTATCTCGAAGGGTATATTTATCCACCGGTACGTGGAATAAATACTTCCTTTCTTATTGATATTGACTGAGTTTTTCAGCTGTCATCTAAGTAGTGTTCTAGTAGAGAAATAATCAAATTTAAGACGAATAATGTTCATTTCTATGAGAAATCTAATATTGAAAAGTGCATTAATCCAGTTGCACCTGAGGAAATGTTTCGCATGCTAGCTCAGCAAATGCTACTAATTACCACGAAACTCAAATTGATGCAATTGACTAAACAAACTGATATCATGAAACCACTGTTTCAGTCACTTTCATCCGGTTGGCAGAACTGGACGGAAACCATTCTTTTAGTTTTACAAACAATCGATAATAATACTGAATAGTACCATTGTACCTTCCACTCACTTTTTTATCCGTTCCATTATCTTCATTTAATCTTTTAAAGCAAATGCAATATTTCAAGAAAACAAGTCATAGATTTATTAATTTCTCGAAAATAGAATTTCCACAAAATGAATCAACCAAGCCATGCGCCAAATTTTGTGTACAACTCATAATGATTTTTTCCATATTTAATTATTCAGGTGAAAAATAATACAGAACACTCATGACAACAAGAAAAAAAAAAATTTTTATATACATGGTTCTAAAATTGACTAACCATTGAAAAGTCAAAAATAATTGTTGAATTCGATTCCTCGAATATTGTTGTCCATTCATTAATATCATTAAATTAATGTTTTGCTTGCGTGGATAATGATATTTATAAAAACACTGATAGCACACCAGCTTTAAATGATCGAAATCAACTGTTTCTATGAAGTATTTGCAGCAATAGCCAAATATTATTATAAATAGGCACATTCCACACATAACTTTACATAAGAATAAAGGTAACTTTTTATTAGATCTAACACCATTTTTATAGCAATTCCAAGTATTTTCACGAGCTTCTTCATTTTTAAAATTGATTAATATCATTTTCGAATTTAAATCATCTTGTGCTGGATCAAAACAAAAAATTCCTTTCATATGTTCTCGTTTTATTCCAGCTTGTTGAGCCATAAATCCGTTGATGAAAACATCATCACGAAAAAATATAGGTACCGTTGAATTAAATATAGCGCTAATCAATCGATTCGATATTATATGTGACGGATATACTACTGCTGCACCCCATAAATAATCTGGTACAAAATCAATAGGAAAATCATCTACTGATACTCCACCCATACCTTCACGTTGAATATGTACTGATTTTTCGAACCAACCTTGAATGGAATCACTGTTAACCGTTCGATGCATATACACGATTAATTTATCGACATGAATAAGTACATCGTCATCGACATATAAAAGAAACTGACTATTTTTCGAACAATACCGATCGTACCACAGTAAAACACTTGTGGTTTTCAATGTTAAATTATAATAATCTTCTAGAATGTTGAATTGTAATAAGTCATGATATTTAAGGTCTTCAGCAATAATATATTTTTGGAAATGAGGATCTTTTGGATAACCAATGGCATATAGAATAGGTATTTTAAAATGCTCACTAATTTCTTTGGCCCATGTAGAACGTGTGAAACTTCGTTTTTCAAAGCTTCCTGATTTCACAATGATAAAAAATGTATATCGTTGATTCTGACAACTTTGATTTTTATCAATAATTAGACTGTGTCTAGCTAATTGTAAATCTTGTTTGGAGTGGATTTTTCCTATGCAATTTTTACATGTACTGTTTGTTGTGAACCTCGCATTGATAAAACAGAGAAGAGAAAATACAATAAACGCCTTGATCATCTGAAATTTATAGATTAGGATCGAGGGTCGGATAGAAAATACTTTCTATTTACATTGTATGTGTATGTATAATAGTGCATTAATTGACGTGTCTTTCCTAAATTATAGAAATCAATCAAATAATGATTTAATTCTAGACGAAAGATCTTTCTGAAAAAGACTCTATTCAGTAGTACCTTGGATGCATGCTCTGTTTTCTATCTATATTGTGAATGAATTTTTTCAACGTTCAACTACCTGTTCGTTTCTTCGAGAAATGATAAAAACCAAACAGAATAATACTTGGTTCCATGGGGAAAATGGTTCCGAAAAATACACTTACCCAGCAGCATCTATGATAAGTGTCTTTTTTTTCCTATCTATATGGAATGTGTTTGCCGACCTTCGACTACCTATTGTTTTGTTTACTGAATAATGACAATGAACGAGAGCAATGTTTGTTTCTGCAGGAAATATAAGTCGGTAAATGCAATTGTCTAGCATCATGTCGGAGAAATGTTGTTTTTTAACTTTATTCAAACAATGCTTCCCATGGAAAAAAAATGGAAAAAATGGTGACTTTCATTAGCATCATTGCATGATTTTGAGTTTTTATGTAAGTCATTGTAATGAAAATTAGTGAAAATTTTCATTTTTATCAATGAAAATGAAATGCATGCATTATTATGCTCGTTTCATCATGAAAAATGACATTTTTTTATTCCCTGCGTTAAATCGTCTACGTACCACCCTAGCACTCAATTTTCGGAATAAGAAATATCAAAGAGTACCATGTTCGTGTCCATAGGAAAAATTAATTTACTATAGCAGCATGTGAAAAAATATTTTCCATATCGATACATTAAAACAATGTTTGAAAGTGAGCTCGGACCGAAATGTAGTAAAGGTTCTGCCCTTTGTAATTTTTCTCTCTATCTTTTCTGATAAAAATTTTGGTTTTAGTCAATGAAATACAGACTCTAATCAGTTTTTAATTATGAAAAACAGCAAAGTTTATTCTGCTCTTGTCAATTACAATTTTCTCCATTAAAAGCTGGCGTTTGCTTCTTTTACAATTGAACATTAAGGTAACAACTCATCCATATTCTCCAGGATTTCAAGTAGAAAAATACTAGTGACTTTGCGGAGAACAGTTTTTCATGACTGTTTAACATTTCAAATAATTTCTCGCTATGAATAGAGATTATTTAAATATAAGCCGTTCTTCGCAATCAATATACCAGTTGCCGTTCATATTAGTTTTTAACAAATCGTATTCGAAACATCATTCAGATTCTACTGTCCGGTATATACGGAACTGTGTTTGACGATTTTGAACCTTTTCACGTGCACAATTCTTGAAAATTCACAAAATTCTTGAAGCATTCTTTGAACTGCATCATATTATGAAAATGTCACTCGGTAAAATTCACTAATAGAAGGTACTCTACAAATAGAGTATTTAAATATAGTCAGACAAGCAATTACGCGTTACTTTAGTATTAAAAATTTTAATAGAACGTAGGGTCCTGCGGGAACGACTTTGTTTGATTTCTGTGTTCCGTTCCCATTCCCGCGAAAAACAAATTTTTTCCCGTCTTCCGTTCCTGTTCTCGGAAAATTAAAAATTCCCGTTCATCTATTCCCGTTTCCGAAAAAATTACAGAATCCCCGCTCTCATTTTCCGTTCCCGAAAGTTTTTCATATTTTTGTTTTTTTTATTGGCTGATATAGGGGTGTCAATTTACAGTTTATTTAGTTGAAATTTAAATTCACGAAACTTTAATAAACTGTTTGGATTAATACTTATCATCGCTATGAGAAAAATACGTGATTTTAGCAGTAGTGAACATTAAATGAGAGTAGAACCTAGTATTTTAGGTTAATATTTGCTCATAGCAGTCAAAATTTCTCTACAGATTATCCAGGATCCGTCATCTTTCTTCTTCAAAATACTGGGATACTCATAAAAATATATTTATTAGCACAAATGCCCAGAAGAATGGCTAGCTTTAACTGTAGAAAACAAAAAAAATTCAAATTTGACCTGACATAATAGAAATCAAATCAAAAAGCGTGTATATCTACTAATTTTATCAATTTGAACTTCAAACACTTTAGTTTCAATTTAAATGATACAAAATTTTTAATTTAATTTATTTAAAATTCAAATTTTGAAAATTTATTCGTCGATTTAATAAATTTTCTGAAATTTCAATTCGACACCCCTAGGCTGATAGGAGCTCATCGCGAGATCTCGCTTTTCACATTTAACATATCACACATCGCACCAAACGTATGGATGAGAGAAATTTCGCATTGACCATTTCTCTAACAATTGATACTTTTCACGTTTACTATTAAAAGCTTTCATATTCACCGATGATCGAGCAATTAAGACCAAGAGCAACTAGCTCCACATCCTAAACAGGGATGGAACAAAACCTCGAAATGAGAAGATGATGATATTGAAGTATTACAATATAGTCTTGATGATCGTACTTTCCATGATGATAAAGAAAATGATGGATGTAATGATCAATGATGTGGTGAGCAATAAATTAACTTATGAATTTTTTTAAATAGATATTTGTTAATTGTATGAAATAAGAAACTGTTACATCCATACATTCTAGTAAAAAAAATAGGACGAACAGATGTTCGGGAGCGGCAAATTTTCTATATAATTCCCGTTCCCGTTCTCTTTTTCCGAAATCTCCACTGGAATTCTCGTTCCTGATTTTCGCGGGAAACGGGACGGGAAAATCAGGAACGAGAATTGCTCCAACAGGGCCCTAATAGTTTCATCATATCCGGAGCTAGTGGTACAAGTACAACCCATCAGTTTAGTATTGATAACAGTCAATAGTTCTATTCGTTCCTAGCATTGCATTGGAAACCATTTTTCTATCTTCATTATCATGTCGTTAATTTAATAAAAGTAATATTTCAATAAATACTATTGAAACAGTCACGTGCTATATTTTTCATGCCAACCATAATTTATTGCTATGATTTAAATCACATTTCATTTATTCGATGAAAAAAAATACACAATACTGATAACAACTAGAAAAAATACTATCCTTAAACACATGACTCTTAAATGAATCAACCATTGAAGTAACAAAAAAACATGTTGCACTACAGTCCTCGAATGTTGTTGTTTATTCACCATTGATATTAAAACGATATTTTGCTTAAACAAGTGATATAATCCATAAAAGCACTGATAGCACTCATATTTTAAATGACCATAATAAACTGTTCTCATGAAGCATTTACAACAAGAACCAATTAACACCATGGATAAAAATATTCCACTGAAAATTTTGAACAATAATAAAGGTAAATTTTTATTGCATGTAATACCATTTCTATAGCAATTCCAAGTATTTTCACGAGCTTCTTCATTTTTAAAATCGATGACAATCATGTTCGAATCTAAATCATCTTCTGTTGGATCAAAACACAAAATTCCTGTCATCTGTTCTCGTTTTACTCCAGCTTGTTGAGCCATAAATCCGTTGATGAAAACATCATCACGAAAAAATATAGGTACCGTTGAATTAAATATAGCGCCAATCAATTGATTCGATATTATATGTGACGGATATACTACTGCTGCACCCCATAAATAATCTGGTACAACATCAATAGGAAAATCGTCTACTGATACTCCACCCATACCTTTACGTTGAATGTGTCCAGAGTTTTCGAACCAACCTTGAATGGAATCATTGCTAACCGTTCGATGCATATACATGATTAATTTATCGACATGTATAAGTACATCGTCATCGACATATAAAAGATATTCACTATTTTTCGAACAATATCGATCATACCACAGTAAAACACTTGTGGTTTTCAATGTTAAATTATAGTAACTTTCAACAATATTGAATTGTAGTAAATCATGATATAGAAGATCTTCAGCAATAATATATTTTTGGAGATGAGGATCTTTTGGATAACCAATGGCATATAGAATAGGTATTTTAAAATGCTCACTAATTTCTTTGGCCCATGTAGAACGTGTGAAATTTCGCTTTCCAAAGCTTCCTGATTTCACAATAATAATAAATGTATATTGTTTATTGTGACAAAATTGATTTTTATCAATAACTAGACTCTGCCTAGCTAGTTGTAAATCTTGTTTGGAGTGGATTTTTCCTATGCAATCATTACATGTACTGTTTGTTAATAGTTTTGCGTTGATACAGTAAAAAATGGAAATTAAGATTAAAATTTTTTTCATCTAAAAAAAATAGATTACAATGAGGACGTGGATTAAGACATGAAAAAATTTCCATAGTTGCTGGGGATGGTGTAGTGGCTCTATGCATCTGAATTCAGAGATCAGAAGGTTCGATTCCTTCCATCAGTACGGCGGTGGTGCCATTAGTATAATGGTGCACGGTATCGGTGAGAAGATGACCAATTACTTTAATATATATGTTGGAGGGGAGATTAAAATCTAGGGGAAATTAAAATCTTCCTCTTTCCTATGCATTTTATATATAAAATCGAAGATTTTTATTTCACCTAGGGCAAATTAAAATTCTTTCTTTTCCTGCCGATTTCATATGAAGATTCAAAGATTCTACTTTCACCTTGGGCGAATTAAAATTCCCCTAGACAATATTAAATACATCATTTTTTTTTGTTTCATATTTCCATGAAAATAACTAGGAATCCAACGGTGACGATCAAAAACCGTTCCACCGTCACCGTTTCACCGCTCGAGACCGGTGAAACGGTGGAGCAGTGCACCGTTGGACCGGGCCCCGGTGTGACCGGTGCATCGGTGGGTCAGGCCCCGGTGTGACCGGTGAAACCCAAAAAGACTACAAAACACCTACGGTGAAGGCCGGTAAAGTGGGGCTACCAGATCACACTGATAGAGATATCTCTGAATCTTAGAAAAAAACGGCCTTCACCGTAGGTGTTTCGTAGTCTTTCCGGCTTTCACCGGTGAACCGGGCCCCGGTCCACCATTTCACCGGTCCCACCGGGACCCGGTCCACCGATGCACCGGTCCAACGGTGCACTGCTCCACGGTTTCACCGGTCTCGAGCGGTCCAACGGTGCACTGCTCCACGGTTTCACCGGTCTCGAGCGGTCAAACGGTGACGGTGGAACGGTTTTTGATCGCCACCGTTGCACCCCTAGTTATTTTCATGGAAATATGAAACAAAAAAAATGATGTATTTAATATTGTCTAGGGGAATTTTAATTCGCCCAAGGTGAAACTAGAATCTTTGAATCTTCATATGAAATCTGTAGGAAAGGAAAAAATTTTAATTTGCCCTAGGGGAGATTGAAATTTTAATTTCCCCTAGATTTGAATCTCCCCTCCAACATATATGTCGATCTTAATGATCTTTACCCTCTCTTTGTGTGATTCTTATATGTTCTATTCTCTTCCTCTGTTTGTTATCGTCATCCTATCCTTTCAGTCTTCACTACTATTTTACCTTCTATACGCACATGTACTGTAAGGGCTCATGGAGCCGTCAGTTAATGCATAATAAAAAAAAATTCCATAGTTAATAGTATTCATCAGTGAAACATGCTAAAATGTCATCAAGTCAGCAGAAATGAATCTATTCGAGTGAGCTGAAAAGCGAGTCATTGATTTGGTTTTGTGAAAGTGAAGCAAGCACTATTCTAGAATGTATAAGTATCCAGAGATTGTCTTAAGTAAAACTCAGAAGTTGTTCAAGATTCACACAGTTATATCGCTACCAACTCTTTGATGTTAGGACAGTTGAAAAGTGAGAATAAATACCATGGAATTCTATTGAAAAGAAGTCAGAAGTTCACGAGACCTTAACTGTGTTACACGTGGAGACGATAACGATTTATGTTCGGATTTTGCATAGCACTCATTGAGTCTTGTTGTAGGCACGCCCAATTGGAAAATATCAAATAATACAATATAAAATTACACAACAGTACGTACCGTGCAGCCATGTGCACATAGAAATATGAATACCTTTTGTATATGGTAAGAATCATCCAAGCGTATCAAACAGTAACATTTATTTTAAAAAAAATACCATTGCACTATATGCTTCATGGGCAATTTGCTTTCTTTTCATCTCCGACTCTCTCAATTAAGTGATCGAAACGATTGACTAAATAGAAGAAAAGGATAAAATAGTAGTGACTATATAAGCTTATCTCTTGCATAAAGTTTTTTATAATATTAATATTTGAGATCAAGTATATTCAAAATAGAGTTCACTATGTTTGATTTTTCACCGATTGAATTCTATACTATAAAAAATCAGTATTTCGCTTCTGCAGTTTTTGTAGTTGTTACAAACGTTCTTCATAGGTATTAGAGCAAACGAAATTCTGTTCGTTACTAGATGAAAGCTGTTTTTATTACAAAAAAAAACAATATATGTACATGCAGATTTTCAATCCATCACAAGAAGTTCTACTTGTTTTGTCAAATATTCTTTTTTTTCTTTAAGAAAATACACCAAAACGAATAGTGATATTGGATTTTAAGATTTTACATGATTTTTTCATACATCAGTATCAGTGGATCAAGCATCTACTGAATTTCTTTCGTCTGAATTCTGCAGTTTACATTTACAAAACAATAAATCATTTATTTCATATTTCAGCAACATGAAATTATTTGATTGTGCTTCAAATCGTTCTTTTTTTTATATAAAAAATATTTTATCTGAGATAAAATACAACACAAAATATTTACAGAATAGCTTTATGTCTGTATATATATATATATATATATATATATATAAGTTCTCTTAATCATATGTTTCGAATGGATCAATCCAATTTGTTGGCATAGTGCGGCCATATTTAGCCCATTGATATTTTTGAAATCCGATAATGTGACTGTCGATTTCATTCTGGAGATCATCGTTCTGCTTCGAAGTGGATAAATTGCTCATAGATTTACAAGAAATAAGTTGACTACCAGAAAATTGGTTGTTCGTGACTAGATCAATTGTTTTTAAAGGATTTATCAAACCCATAAGATTTTCGTGATTGGATAAAGGTAATACATCCTAAAAAACTTGTCTTAAGTTTACAATAACAAAAACATCGAAGTCCAACTTACTTTTTCTTTTTTGTCTATGCTTAAATTTGGCATTTTAGTTGTCTTTACTAAGCAATGTTATATGAGACACAAAGTCAACCTATTGCGTAGGATTCTTTTATTTTAAATAGAAGAGAAGATTCATTTTAACATGACTATTTTATTTAGAAAAAAACACCGAAGGTCTTATCCCACTTATACAAATCATGAATCATACTTTCAAAAAATTTCCATCGTGCAACAAAGCAAAGAAACGTTACTCATCGTAAATAGTGACAAAAACAATACCTAAACATAAGGAAAGAGATGAAATTCCTTTCAGTCGCCTACTTGTAAAAATTCGACTGGCTAATACCGGAAGGATACTTTCCTCACTGTTGGTAGCCCACTAATAAGCCCTTTGATGAATAAATGGGAAGTGACAGTTAATTAATATTACTTTATTAATCTATATAAATAAAGCAAACAAAAAACCTCAATGCATAAAACAGGTACGCGACCAATAAAATGCGGTTGCTGTATAAAAAATGCAACAAGCACATCGTAGAAATATTCCGAATTTTTTGTCATTAAATCTAACAAGTGTGTAAATCTTAAAATAAAAAGAACTTTTTCTATTAATGAACGAAAATTAACTCATCGTTTCGTCTTCATAACAAATAAAAGAGATGTTACATATTTATCTGAGGAGATGTAGAAAATGGGTAGAATAGAGTTTTGGTTATCTGCTGAAGGAGTTTGTTGATACAAGCAACTGTAGACAATCAATATATTTTCTGACTTTGTCTTGATCAGTGTCGGTGGGAAACTATAGTGAGAGCGAAGTATGCAAATTCTTAGTGCTCCTCACGATGTTCATGTAGGAAATTCAAAATAGGAGTCTAGTTGGCGGCTCGATCTGTTCAAGAATTGAATTGGATTCTTAATTAGTACGTCTAGATATTTTCGATGCGAATCTGTTGAAAATTCACAGAGCCAAACCCTCTCACTGGAGATATAATAATCATATTTTACTACCTGTTTCTCAAAGCTAGCGCACATACATAAGTAAAAATTGCCCAACACAAATATTTTCTATCAATATTTACCAATCATCTGTACTTTAATTTTCATATTTTGTATTACAGGAGAATATATCTACGTAATCTAGCGCCCTCTTCTCTCATGTCATTCTGTCAATGGATGCGTAAAACTGACGAATAAACAAATGATTGTTCTCTCTGTGCCATCGCCACACCACAACTAGTATTATTGATAAATTGCTACGTTTACTATTTATTATTATTATTGTTTAACTTCGTCTGAAAATGGCCACTGCAACAAGCGGACCACTATCCTTGCGTGATCGTCATATAGGTATGCCTAAATAATAAAAATCTTGCTTGCTCAAACGAAAAGCAAAGCAAAGGATGCATTACAATCACTTTTGTTTTCTTTATTAAGCGACTCTAAAGCAAATGCTCAATTTAAATACATCTTCGTTATCATTAATGAAATCAACTGGTACAGATTTAGCTTGGAAAGTTCTTATTTATGATGAATTAGGCCAAGATATTATTTCACCTTTACTAACCGTGAAAGAACTTCGTGATCTTGGTGTTACATTACACGTGTACGTAATTTATCTACGATGGAATAAAAAAATATAATATGAATGAACTTTTTTCAATAGATCATTAAAATCAGATCGTGACCCAGTTGATGAAATTGCTGCAGTCTATTTTATTATGCCAACGAAAGACAATATAGCTCGAATAGGCAAAGTAAATAGATATTTTTTCAAAGAAATTCTAATTATGCATGTAAAATCGTTCGTAGGATTTAGCAGAAGGTTTATATGAATCCTATTATTTGAATTTCATTGCTCCAATTCCGCGTGATCTTCTTGAAGATTTAGCAACAGCTGCACTTGAATCTAATGTTCAACAGAATATAGCTAAAGTAAAAAGAAGCCAACAAGAGACATTCACGTACATTCATCATTATTTTCTATTAGATCTATGATCAATATCTTGATTTTATCACACTTGAAGATGATCTGCTTTGTTTAAGACAGGCAGGAAGAGATAGCATATCGTATTTTGGTAAATAGTTTTACATAGTTAAATATGCCCTTAGATTTGTTTTCATTTCATAGCTCTCAATCGGCCACAAATGCTTGATGTCCAAATGGATCAAATTATCGGAACAATTGTTGATAGTCTTTTTTCAGTGTGTGTAACACTTGGTATAGAATTTTTTTAAATCGATTACTAATAAAAATTGATTGTCTTATTTATTTAGGTTCGGTTCCAATTATTCGATGTCCGAAAGGAGAAGCAGCAGAAATCGTTGGCGAAGTTTGTATTCTTTATTTCGAAAGAAAAGAATGAATCAAAACAAAAATGTTGTTGCTCTTGATTTAGAAACTCGATAAAAAATTACGTGAAAATCTACGTGATCCTCGTAATAGTCTCTTCTCGTCGGATTCCATGGCGACTGGAGCCTTAAGGTTTGTTTTCATCTGCAAAATCTAGAAAAGAGATTGAACGAATCATGATAAGGAAATGCTATGATAATCGATTGTAAAGATGCAATATATTTCGTACCAAAAGAAATGCAATACTCACCCGCTACAAAATCACTTGTACAACATATTTTTATTTATTTCTCAATCAATAAGCTAGATCATTTCAAATTGTACTAAAACGAATTTTCTTTGTATCGCACTGAATGAATTTGTTAAAAGCTCGCATTTTAAAATTGTTCTGACATGAGAGTTGGGCCAAAAACTCGATAAACATCATACAGGAAGAGGGCAATAGTCTAATCTGTTTACTCAGTAAAACGACATGTTGATGTCGCATATATTTCTTTTAAGCACAATCGAAAAGGAATGTTTAAGAACCTTTGGAACCTCCCTCTTCGTGCATGTTATCGTTGAAACATCACAGACATTGTTGACATACGATCAACGACTGTATGTAAACAAAGTCTTATTATAATACAAAAGTTATTTGCCATTGTGTTGAGGGATTAAATGAAAAATATTGTCTACGATTAGTAATAGCAGCGAAGCTATACTTCACGTCTTAACTCCATAGGTATGCACTAACAAAACAGATTATATCATAACGAATGAGGATGTCAGCATTTTCTTAGCATATTCTTGAGTTTTGATTCTCTGCAAAATTATAGATCAATACGCGCTATAGAACTAAAAGCGAAAACATTATTTCAGTATTATTAGGAGTTAGTAACATGAACAACTTGCAAGCGTAAAATACAGTTTCCAGCTCTATGATTTCTATTTGTCGACAGATAAGTAGATAATTAAACAATTAACATTTTGAAAAACAGATTCTATTTGAATCTATGCGAATATGGAGAATCTCATGTTGTATGGTTCAACGGTTATTTTCTTATATTAACGTGTCTGATCGATACAGTTGAGTGTATACTTAGATAACTCGACTATGACTTGTCAAATCTTAGAGTTCATTAAGTTAATTAACACATGTTGCATGTATTGTTATCGTTTAGTTTTCAACGGCCTCTTCTCGTTATATTAGATCGAAGTATCGATCTAGCATCACTACTTCATCATACATGGACTTATCAAGCATTAGCTCATGATATTCTAGTAAATAAATTTAAAAGTTCCATAGAAAAATTAAACTTCTTCCTTGTTTTGCTTGTTTAATAGGATTTCAAATTGAATCGAGTTGAAATTGAAGAATTTGATGAAACAATTACAACGGGTGATGGACGGCATCCATCGAAACGACGTACATATGATCTGATTCCAACGGATAAATTTTGGAAACAACAAAAAGGAAAGTATGTTAAATTCAAACGAATTGAACAGACAAGAAAAACATCCTAAAATTCTCTATCTGTTTATGTTTAGTCCTTTTCCTATAGTCGCTGAATCTATACAAGAAGAACTTGAACGTTATCGACAATTGGAAGGCGAAGTGACACGTCTGAAAACTGCAATGGTTTGTTTATTTTGGTTCAAAATGAAAAATGACAATTTAAGCATAAATTTATGTTTATGTCTAGGGTATTAAAGGGGACGCTGAAGATTTAGCTATTAGTTTGTTAAATGATACAACAAGTAAATTAACAAGTGCCGTTAGTTCACTACCGGAATTATTAGAAAAAAAACGATTACTGGATTTACACACCAATATTGCTACAGCACTACTTGATCAAATAAAAGTATGCATGATGATGCATTCATCTTTTCTTCGGAAAAATAGTTTCCCGTTTCTTCGTTCTATTTTAATAGAAACGAAAGTTGGATGTTTTCTTTGAAACAGAAGAAAAATTAATAACCAAACAAGTTCAAGTAAATACATTTCTCAGCTTTTGTTTTATCAATTTTAATAAATTCAATAGGAAAAATCACTGATGGAAGTTCTATCAGATCCAGCAGGTAAAAAATTAAACAAAATTCAATAGAATATTTCTCACGGTATATTTTCAGCTGGTACACCGGAAGATAAACTTCGTCTATTTTTAATCCATTACATCTGTACACCGACGATGACACAAGTACTTTAAAGCAAAATAATTAAGATCAGTAGATTCTTTTCATATTGATCTATTTAGAGTGAACTCGATCAATATATGACAATATTAAGAGGATCTAATTGCACACATTTGGAAGCAATAGCATATATCAAACGTTGGAAATCAATTAGTAAAATGAGTGTCGTCTCGCAAGCAAGAGAAGGTGGAACAACAACAATGGGGTATGAAGAGTCCAAACTCGTTCGTAATTTGCAAGAATTGCTTGCTTGTAAAATTTCAGCACAGCAGCCTTTCTCAGCCCCCTCAAGAGATTGTAACAGATGAGAAACACTAATTTATGCTGAAAGTCAATTTGCTAATCATTGAGTTATGTCATATATTGGTACTTATAGGAATCTGGTGCATTCGGTTCGAAGCAGTTTAAAAACTGGAATTTCAAGACTTTAGTTCGCTGCAACTTTCACATGAGTCATGCTAGTCTTACGAGAGCAAACTTTCTAATATAACTATTCTTAGGATATCATGAATAGGCAATTTTTTTGATGGATCATGTGTGAAGATAATTAGCAATGCAGCATTTTTAGCAAAAGCGAACTTGTCTCATATCTTTAGAAGAAATTCCCATGTTAAGATTATGACTTAATCTGTCTATAATACCGTTTAGAATGTTCTCGAATTTGGTCAACAAAGCATCGAAATTCGCCATGGAAGGCGTTAAAAATCTCGTTGTGAAGCAATATGTATATATCTTCCTTTTTTTTATTTTTATCTATTGTGATAATTATCGTATATTTAAGAAACTGCCAGTAACAAAAATCCTCGATAATCTAATGGAAAGCCGTTCATCACCTGAAACTGATGATTATCGATACTTCGATCCTAAACTTCTACGACCAGCAGACAGGTAAATAGAAACTTTATTCTAGTCGATTAAAGAGACAGAATTTATTCCATAAAACATTCGCCAATTTATATTTCCTATAGTAATCGTTCAATTGAGAATAAGTAAGAATAAAAAATAGGCCTTTAGTGAATTAATACTAAAATTTAAAATTCATGTTTAACAAAAGAACAAAAAAAAAGCGATGGAATTATATTTTTCTTCATCTTATTTAGTGCGAATGTTGCTCGTAATCGTCAATCATTTAGTGATGCTATTGTTTTTATGATTGGTGGTGGTAATTATATTGAATATCAAAACTTGCAGGACTATGCGAAAACTCGATCAACAATGGCAACAAAACGTGTTGTTTATGGATGCACAGAACTTGTGAATGCGTCACAGTTTCTTGAACATGTAAATAAAAATTTCAAAAAAGATAGAAGAATTTTTTTCTTAAATGAATATTTTCAATTTTTTTAGCTGGCGAAATTGGGTGTATGAATTAATTATCCAAAGGACTTCTAATTTTTGTGGGTTGTTATTGTCAATAAAATATTCTGATTATTTTATTTTAATTATTATGAGTTTCTTTTCTTATCACTTTCGTTTTTTTTTATTCTCATTTGTTCTCACTTGTAGATTGATTGCTGCTGTGCTATTTTCTTTTTGAACTGAATTATTATGGTAGGAGAGAATTTTGATTTAGCAATACGAAAAATGTTAAAAATTTGTTTAATTTTCTAGTCAAAAAATTTTAGCGAAGAAGAAATCGACAGTAAGAAGATTTTCGCATGGAACTTTTATTTAAAACTCAAAATACGATTGTTTTCGAATTAGATTTTCGGCAATGCTTTCAATTATTTGCTCCACAAGGTTATGTAGACACGCCAGATAAATTATGTTTCATAATGCGATCATTGAGTATGGCTCCAACATTGGTAGAACTTAAACGATACTTTACTAAATACAAAAAAGGTATGTTATATTCGTTTGCCGTCGCTGTTAGCCTATATTTTATATTGAACATCACCAGATGCTGGTGTTGTCGAATTTGATGATTTCTTGAAAATTATTTTGGAACACCGATCAGTAGAAAATACTTCAAATGAGATAATGGCTGCTTTTCAACTGTATGATACAAAAAAACATGGTTATATTGACGCTAAACAGTTGAGATATATTTTAACTCATACAGGAGAAAAAATGACCGATCGAGATGGTAAGAAAAAAAACTATGTAATCATCCATGAAATTCGTTTGTTTTATTTTCTAGTCGATCTGATCTTACGTGAATTAAATGTTACTTCGGATGGTCGTGTTGTTTATAAAAATCTTGTTCAAATGCTGGCTCAACCACTGGCCGGACATCGTTAGATATAGACAAATATTTGAATTCTTCGAAGCATTCCAGTTTCCAATGCAATAATCTCAGGAATTATAATTGATACTAATCTGTTCTTTTGTTTTTTCCCTCCGTCCTTCTTCTATTAGAATTTGTGTGCATTCTAATTGGTAGATCTTAATATTTAACTTGCATATTACTTTAATTTAGTTGTTTAAACATATTTTTAATGAGTTTCTTCTCAGAACGAAATACTACATGAGAATTCTTTTGAATTCAATGGCTTTTTGGACCTGCTCGAATGACAATGTTTTTATGATTAAATATAAAATTGAATTTTTTTTAATATAATTTTTATGGGACTTTAACGCTAGCTATTATTTGTTAAAATGCTTTTTTCATACAATAAAGATATTTAAATCGATACAAATTATAGCGTTTTATCAGACAAGTTTCTCTAGGAAAAACATATGCACTGATCATTTGCTCAGTAGTAGTACTAATTGAAACATTGAGGTAGGTTATCAAAGGTGAAGCTGCGGCTTTTAAGAGAGTTGAAATGAATTAGTCTAGTTTACAAGTAGACCGACTATCCGTGTACCTATAAATCATATTTTCACGAAACCATCATCATAAAAAGTAGTTGCCATTCCTATTATTAAAAAAATACATGGATTCCAAATACTGTTAATCAACGATTGTTTTATTTCAAAATTCAAAACTCGGCGCCACAGTTGCTATTTTCCAGCTGTTAACAATTACGAAATATGAAAACTGGAAATCTAGGGTAACGATAACAGTATCAAATAAGTACATCTATTTTCCGGCTGAATAGAGTTCTTTAATTATGACTATAATTAATTTGATAAATAATTGCGACTTCAAAATATCCTTAAAATACACGAATATATTATTACATTATGCCGACAAACAAAAATACACCATGCGATAATATGTGATCCGTATCTCGTTTAATTATGATTAAAATAGATGTGGGAAAAAATAACTTTCATATGAATTTCCCTGCGAAGAATTTAACTTTGAATAGAGTAAAGATTACGATTGACAAACCGATAATTTACTTTTAAAGTGGACCGTTGCTTCATTGTTATTTGATGTAAACCTTTCAAAAGTAGAATCTATTACTACGCTGCTAATAGCTACACTAGCATTGAGAATTTTCAATACAACCACAACAATCAACACACTCCAAACTATGAGAGCTATTGGTTTTTCTGAGCAAGTATGCAATGACTTATATGATGATCGTTTCATTCGTTAGAAAATATATGGCAATTGAACGATAGTGTTTTCAGTAGTAATTATCATCATTTCAAGTTTCTTACTTCGATTTATGCAAACAACAGAAAGACGGGATAGGCATTCACAGGTTGACGCTCACCTTATAACCGTAGAAAATATAGTCAAAAGGAATAGAGGTCAATAGAATTATTTTCTCTAACAAATGTTATTTTACTGCATCGTAATGACGTGTCGATATTGGTAAATAACATGTGGACATTGCCAATTGAAAGTTTTAAAAATAATTCTAAGCGTAAAAGTAATCAATCTATTACTTATTAACTCTGGATATCGCGCCCAATTGTTAATTTTCCGCATTATAATCAATCTACGATATACATCTTCTTAAAAATTGACAATGTACTCGCCTGAAAGTAGTTCTGACGCTAACGAAAGTACATTTTGTCAACGTGCATGTAATACAATAATATTTTTCTTTCCAAACTTGACATCTTTATTAATACTATAATCAGTACAATATGCTTTAGTCTGAGGAACTATTCTCTAACTATAACATATTCTCGAGTGACACTCACTACTATCGCATGATACCTTCTGCGTTATTTTCAAGTGTCTTTCTAAATGAAATTTGCAAAGCTAAAAATGTTAACGTCCTATTACATTGTGGATTATGATTTCCTGTTGAAACATTTTCGACGTGTAAATGTTTTCATCGATAGAAGTACTAGTTTGAATCTACTTAGGTAATTGTACCATCACCAAAGTAACGATTTAAGAACCGATGGAATTTTTATTGCAATCAAAATGATGGAGAAACAATTGAACATTAGAATTTGTAATTGGTTTCGTTATTGTAATAGAAAATTTTTAGCAACAGTCAGTAGTAATACTTTCACCAGTCCTAAAATGTTATTAAAAAAGATCTTATACTTTATAAATCGTATTTATCTGGTGTCATGCACAATATATAATTACTGAAGTTATAAATAGCAATGCTTGATATGAAATATAATCTTTTTTTTAATACTAATATATCTAGAGCATGCTTAGTCATTAATCCAACTTCTGAACGGTGCACAATTACAATTACACTAGTTCTAATTTCTAATTGGGAAATTTATTAAGTCAGAAGTTTAACAAATCATTCGATTGACTTTTTAACTGAAGCTATGAAAACGAATCGTATCAATTATTTATAATTACAAGGGTCAATATAAATCTGTCAAGAATGCACGATGAAATACTGCATCGAACTGTTACTATCCAAGAGTAGAGTAAACATCATACACTCTACTACAATGTACTTTAAACATGGCAGAGCATCAATCGAATTGCCTAAGCCAGAATTCGATTGGCAAGCATTTGATACAATATCGATATTCATAGTTCAATTTCAGCTGTAATATCTTTGGGAAAATGCTTGAAAAACTGTGTAGAATGCATTTTGACAATAAAGAACGCCCCGATGCATGCGTCAATCGAATTAGCTATGCTCGACAACCACCACAACAGCGTGAATACCATTTCAAAGAAATGAAGCTTACGATTAGACTAACAAAATGCGATATTTAACGTCGTTTTGACCTTGATTTAATTACTGTCTGCATGTATCAAGCTAACAAACACGCACGAAGAGGGTTTTTATGTCACTGTTGCCTAGTGATTCTTCATCACTCTAATTTATGCTTTCAGTTGTAAGAAAAACCTATTTGCCAAACTTGACTTAATAATTATAATACTTCGAACGTCAAGCATATTTCTTTTGCGGATGCTTTCTAAGATTACTCCTCTAACTTTTGTTAAGCTGCTTACTATGTTCCTATATTTGACGAGAATTGAAAAATAATTGTGCATGATACTTTCGAAGATATATGCATCTTAAAATCCATAGAAGTTTTCTTTAACAAATTTGCTAATAGTTCCGAAAGATTGTTTTTTATCATCAGGTGACAAAATATATAAATTGAATGCTTCGCTCCAAAGTAGGTTGTCATCTTATGAGATTCTAGAATTTTTATGGGCTGTTGCCATCGAACGAAATTTAATGAGAAAAAAGAAGCTTTACATCCATGAAATATTAGCCATAGAACTCTTTCTAGAAGCAAAGCTCAAGCTTCGAAACCATGAAAATATTACTTTTAAAAGTAGAGAAAGAGCAAGCTGAACCACGACAGTGCTTAATATATCTAATACATCCAGAAGATATACTAAACAACTAGTGTTCGCCTGCTTCTTACCGATCGTGGTATCTATTTAAATGCATACTTAAAGCTAGAGATTGAATAAAGAAACTTCACTTCATCTTTTCTTTTTCTACTCATTAATAAGCAAAATTCTAAAAAAATTACAACAGGATTTACATTCTTATCATCTTGTTTTTCTTTCTCATTTATATTCTATTAGTTTAACAATGAGCTTGAAACGCACAGATACTATCGCTCGTGAACAAGTAAGAATATGTTGTTTTTAATATTTTATTTTAATGTTTTCCTTTACCCAGCAAATTCGTGAATCAATTCATGATAAAAATGTTGCATCATCGACATCCATAGGTCTGCTAAACTTCCATTTATTCTGTAAAAAAACAAGAAAACAATAGATTTTATATTCTTTTTTCTCTTAATTTAGCACGATCTAGACGCATCAAATCAAAACGATGTGAAATTGTTATTATAACTATCGTACATATTATGTTTGCACTTTTTGTTCTTGGGCGTTTTACAATAAATAATGGGCCTCTTATTCAAGAAGCTTATTATGTTTTGATCGATACATCAAATGACTCATTCATGGAAACGCCATCGTTTTTTGAAAAAATTCATTAACTTTTGTTTTTGTACATATAATTTGAATAGAAACAAAATATTTTAAAATATTATCATACATAGAAATAAGATCTTGTTAGAAAAATCCAGCGAATTAGCAAGTGAAGTCAAATGAATAAGAATCATGTTTTGCAAATATCAAGTGACTTTGACATGTAATATTAAAAATATTTAGTATTGTAGTGTTGTGATGTGAAAAAAGAAATAAAAACTTTTCTTGTTAATATTATAACGCATAAAATGATGATTGATTTGATGAAAAAGCCTGGCAAATGATACGCTGCACTCGAAGCGTTTTCTTCGCTGAAAAATACAGATGTCATAACAGTATTCATGCAATAGTTTATTGAAGAATCAGAATTGTTTTCTTTTGCAAGTACTTCTTGTACGTTCGGGCGTTTCCAAAGGGGACTTTATCCCCAAAAGCGTCACATTTTCGACAGAGAAAAGCTGTTCAATTTAACCAGTGCTTTCTTCTTTATGGCAATGGCGTCATCCTAGGTTCAGGGTAACCTTGTTTTGTATAGGAAAGTACTTGGACTTGGTTTTCTTCACAATCGATACATAGGACACATTTTAAGTTTTATACATTAATGAAAACTGCAGAACAGCAACAAAAATGCATCTTATATTCATGATTGAGGAGAAGATATTTCGTTTCCGAGCGCCATCTCTTAGCCGATGTCTAACCTTCTGGCTTCGCAGCAGTCCTATATATCCTGTATTTCCTATATTTTAAAAATTTATCCTATAATAGACTATATTTTGAGCTTTTTTCCTATCTTCCTATTTTTTTTGAAAAAATTGAAGATTCTTCTAAAAAAATTCAAAAAACTCCTGATAAGTGTTCAACACATCATTTAAATATTGTCAGTAACAATTTGTATGGCGCTTATTTCCTATTGGTTCATCTAGATAATGTATATAGTATACTCGTTGCATTAGTTGTCTTTGTATCAGTGTTTTATCCAGAATTTCTGGGTATGCTAGATCTCAGCGTCAGTGCATGAGACCTAGATGGAACTTATGAGGGATCATATTGGAGCTAAGTAATGAGGTTTTGTGGTCAAAAGTTTGTGATTGTAGTTTGCGAAAACAAAATAATTTTTTTGCTTGCCCAACCGGCATATGTTTTTAACCTTTTTTGGTATTCCGCCTTTCAGAATTTCATAGTAAGTTACATCAAACTTCATCGACAGATTTCAAATTTCATCGAAAAATAAGCATCCATTCAGGAGTTATAACGGTTTGAAATTTTGCTAAAATCTTGGCAGTATTTGAAAAAAATGCACAACGTTATAACTCCTGAACGGATGCTTATTTTTCGATGAAATTTGATGTAGCTTACTATGAAATTCTAAAAGACTGAATACCAAAAAGGTGTGGGTGTGGGTGTGAGTATTTTGTTCAGAAACTCGCCCACACCCTAAAGTGCATGTATGTCCAATAGTGAAAATAAATCGAACATAAATTAGTTTTTTATGTTTTAAGAAAATCTTGCTGCTCCATTACTTTTCAAAACTCAATAATATTTTTATTTAGCTGATTAGATATACGTGCCAAAACAACACATTATCATCTTCAATGCTGTTGCAGTGATTTTTCGGTGTCTAAATCTTTTTCTGGAATAAATTTGTCATCCTATATTTTTCCTATATAGTTGAGGGCAATCCTATATATTTTAGACCTATCCTATATAGGAATTCCTATATTTTTTGAGAGAGCCGCTGCGATGCCAGCTAACCTTACAAATGTATTACAGGAAAAATTGAAATTAACTAAAACAGAAATCATTCATTACTTTTTAAATGAAAAATAGGATGATGCCTCAATTTAATCAGAGTTACACTCTGCGTAAACTAGGATAGCTACTCTTGCAAGCTTAAATGTTTGACTTTTCAAAACAAAATTCGCTCTCGCAAATAATATTTGACATTCTTCTATGACATTTATTTGATAAATAAACTCTTTGCATCCTATAGTACTGTGAGCAACAACACGAGTCTTCTCTTATTGGCCAGTGCTACACTGGTAACCATCAATCTATTGTTTTCATGTGCTTCTATCGTGAGTTCAATTCAGACAGTCTTTGAAAATCTTAATCGTAAAAATATTTAATGCATAATAAAACTAATCACTGAATGCATGAATAGAATTGATTAAAAACTAATAATAATGGATACCATAGAAAAAAGTGCTCTTGAAAATCTCATCTTTTTTTGCCTCGTAATGTAAAACAGAACATCGGATGTTTCGTTCTGTTTGCTTTTTTTTCCATTTATTTCTAAAATATATTCCTGAAAGCGGCTTTTGTTCTCACAACTGAATTTAACAACGTATCGATCATAACAACTATGCTTGACGACGATTACAATCAGAGACATTGTGTTAAATGTGGAAAAATTGGCGGCATATTAACTTGTGATGGGTGTAGTTCAACATTTTGTTCTCGACATGCTATGCAACATCGACAAGAACTTACTTATCAATTAGAAACTATACTACAAGATCACGATTTAATTCAACAAAATCTTGAACGGTCATTGTACGAACATTCTCTTTTACAAAAAATAGCCAGATGGGAAAAGGAATCGATTAGGAAAATAAGAACAGCAGCTGATACTGCTCGAGTCGATCTAAGGCAAATCACCGATAAATCAAAGCGGCAACTTGCAAGAATGTCTCGTGATATAGCGGCCGACCTTAATTCATCATCGAAAGCAGATGATTTCTCGGAAAAAGATCTCGTCCGATGGATGAAACAATTGAACACTCTTCGGTTAGATATTAAATCGTCATATTCAATTGAAATCATGGAAGATCAACGATTTCCGATTTATCCTATTACAGTTTCACATAATAAATTTCAAAATATCCATAAAAAGAATCCAAATCCTGCACATATGTCGTCTGACGATGGTGTCGAATGTTTTTTCAAAGCAACTAATGCTGCTTCTATAGAAAATAATGGTACAATTATTAAACATATCGGTCCTGATTTAGATGTTGCACATATTATTGGTAAAAAGTTTTATAGTCACGGTCGTCACACAGCTCGATTTAAAATTCAACAATTAACTCGTCCATATAGCATTTTTTTTGGTTGCATATCATCATCAGTAGTTCCGGAAGTATTGACTTATAAATCATCGTCTGTCGTCGGATGGTTTGGTTATAATGAAATTTATCAACATGGTGTTTGGAATAATAATGCAAATGTACATGGCTATGATAGTTATCAATTTGACCGAAATGATGTAGTAAATCTTACACTTGATTGCGATCAACAACGGCTAGAGCTATTTCATGAACGCTTCAACAAAACACATAAACTTTCAGTTGATATTGATCAAGCACCATTTCCTTGGCAAATTCTCGTAGTTTTGACTCATGAAGATGATTGTGTGAAAATCTTACCTAAGCGATAAATTTTATTTTAATTATTAAATCTATTTTATTCAAATTAATTAAGTGCGAAATGAAGGACGCTTTATTAGTTCAGTAATCAACATAAGGGTTCATCATTGACGGTCAATATTGTATAGGTTATAAAATAAAATTCTATAGACGCTTCGGTTTTCCTTGAAATCTCTACCAATTTATAGGCAAGACTTGGATTAAATACAATATCAGGCTAAAATTTTACCTATAAAGATATATTATGAATATCATCAAGGATATCTATATCAAGTTAGGATGACTCTCTTCGTTATGAAATACCATATCGACAACAAATACACATATGTTAGAACGCATTTCAAAGCAGTTCTCGTTTTAGATCATAACTATTTTCTTCGAGAAGAAAATTTTCAATGAAACAATGCCAGTATTTATTACTGTTCTTCCACTATTTCCGCAATCAATTGAAATGATCCAATTTTTGTGTACTCAAAAAGTGAGTACACTCTAGAACCGGTCAGTGTGTCCGGCCGTAGGCACGATAACTTGCGAAAGGAGAGTCAGATCGTGATGAAATTTTCCACACAGTTCAATCTCATGAATATCTCAGTCGAGTTCGAAGATGAGAAGAATCCCTCAAGAAATGGTTGAGTTATCGAAAAAATTGTCATTTTTGACCAGGCCATCCCTGAGGAGGAAGGAGTACAGGGAATTTTTTTCAAAAAATAAATCTTTCTCAGAATTATTCACAACATATATAAATCGACTCGGTTTTTAACGCTGATTCCGAATCTGATATTGGTTTTGAGCTAAACCGTAGCTTTCTGATGAAGCATCGCCTGAAAAACGTCTCAAAATGCACAAAAACTGCATCCAGAAATCAGATTGCCTAGTTTCTCATGATAATTTTGGTGTTCAGACATTCTAGAATGACTCATATATCCCATGCACTTTTTGCAGTACACATAACTTTCGGATGAAATCCGAAGTTTCCACATTTATTTTNATCAAATTGCCTAGTTTCTCATGATAATTTTGGTGTTCAGACATTCTAGAATGACTCATATATCCCATGCACTTTTTGCAGTACACATAACTTTCGGATGAAATCCGAAGTTTCCACATTTATCTTTTTATTGTTTAGGTATTATGACATGATAAGCCTATTTTTCAAAATAGAGGGTAACTAATTCTGTTTCTCATCAAAAATAATTAAAGAATAGACACTATACTCCGATAAACATATTAGTAAAATTTTTGTTAAACAGTTGACAAAAACATAAGTATATGTTCGTTTAAACATGGTCGTATACTAATAAGAGAGAGTAAAACATTATCTATCTTCTATCTAAACTCTATGTTTCATTCGTTTGTATGAAATTTCGAATAACGTTATTATAGTGAACATGAACTCTAGTGCAAATAGAAACAAACTATGTGCTTTTTACAGCGGAAGTGCAAGTATTTTAACGTGTAAGTGAACATCGACAAAAGTTAGCTGTAGAACTAGATCATATTATACAAGATCACGATTTAATTTAACACTAAATTAACAAAATAAATACCAACTAATTATTTATTCCTTGAACAAATTAGTCGATGGGAAAAAAACTGCATTGAAAGGGTTAAAGTTGCTGCCGGCACTGCTAGAGAAAATCTCGGAGAACTACTCAATCAATCAAAAGAAAAACTTACGACAACATCTTATGATTTAGCTGTTGATCTTCGTTCATCTCTTGAAGCTGATGATTATTCAGAAAATGATATTATTCGCTGAACTAAAAAATTAAGTGCACTTGAACTAGAAATTAAAACACCATCTACAATTAGAATTATCGAGAACATAAGGGCTGTTATTCATTTAATTAACATTGAAAGTAATGAATCGACGAATGCAAATTTACCCATTACTCAAACAACAGCTTATATTAAAAAAAAGATTCAAGGCGTGTTTTTAGATGTACTTGGGCCTGCTAGACTTGAACATGAACGTTATGTTGCTAGACCTATTGGAGTTCGCAATGAGGATGCATATGTGCGCGGTATTCTACTTTATCATCATAGTCAACAAACGATACGTGTTCGCATCGAAAACTTTGAAAACCCTTGCAGTATTTTCTTTCGTCTCAATCGGTTTTAATATAAAACCTGCATATTTTACCATGCAACATAGAACGGCTTGGCTATAATCAAGTTTATGAACATGGTAGATGCAGTAGCAATTGTAAAAACTATGGTTACAACAGCCAATTAATAAGGAAAAATTATGTTTTACGATTAACATTTCATTGTGACGAACAACAAATTAGATGTTATAACGAAAGATTGAACACGACAAGTATATTAAACGTAGATATTAAATTGACTCCTTACCCTTGGCAATTATTAATGGCTATGAGTCACACAGATGACTGTGTGAAAATTCTTAGTGATCAATAGATTTTAGTTTTGAAAAAATTTTAACGATTGTAAACTTTATTATTTAATAAAGAAAATATTTATGGTAGCGATAAAAATGCTTTTTTCTTTTATTATTAACTCAAATGTTGACTTGATAGGCTGATTTTGTTTTCAATTTTATATGATTTTTAGTTAACATTTATGATCACATTCAAATATACTTTACTCTATTTAATACAGAATATTAATAAATTTTTAGTCGTAACGACGAAACTCTTCGAGCTTGCAGAAAAAGAAGCAAACCGATTAGATGTCGATTTTCGACTGTTGCTGTCGATTTTTAGGCGATGAAAACGTTTGATTCTTACTTTTCAATTATTTATAAGGTATATTTAGAAACGGTGGCAATTGCTGCTGTATTTATTTGATAAATTTTGATACCTATAGAAATGAATGTGTTTGATTAATCGTTAACCCATTTCTGAAAGCAAAACATTCGTCTCTAAAACTAGGACTTACAACTTGTCAATGCAACATTAAGTTCATAAACTGAGAATATTGAAAGTTGCATTTGATATATGAGAAAAAGTTGAGTATTTTGTCTGTGATGGACATTATAATTAGTTTGTAGAGTTTCAAGTATATCGAAAAGAATTTGACAGGAATCGTTCAGCGTTTCAATGATTATTTCTTCGTAAGAAAATGATTGAGGATCGGGAAACATGGGCACGGATTGGTATGTTCTATCGATTGGTATTGAAATAAGCTGATCAACGATAAAACTTGCTTCTTTCTATTGGCTCATCATTTAGTAAGATGTGCTCACGTAAATAAACAACATTCGTGTAAATAGATACGCTTTTAAATATATATTGTGAATATGGGAATAAGGCAAACGTTTAAACGTCTTTGTGGAGGAAGAGCATGTATGAGATCGTTATTCAGTACGTAGGGCCGAATAACTTAAGAGATAGGTGTGCAATAATTATTAATGAATATTAGGATAGAGTTGGAGATGAACTGAATATACGAACGAATTCAGTCATGTTCTTTTTCTTTGACGTTTTTTGCCACTCTGTCATATCAGCGCAAGCACGCGTTCAAAATACAACTGTTTCTGTTTATCTTTTACCAACGCATCATCAATGAGTTCGAACAATTCAAGATCTGGAATCGAAAGCATGCGATAAGAATATAATGCAAATTCACTCTGCCAAAGGGCTGCCGTAAAATTATCGGATGGCTATATTTGCCAATAATCATCATTGGTGATTACGGTTCATCTCACGGTTCGAACTCTGTCTATACCATGCAATTTATCATAGCAGCATTGAAAGAAACCAAAATATTTGATGAAAACAAACAACAAATCTTCGTCGTACGCAACGCTTTGTCAACTAATGATCTATTTGAGGTTCTCGCCAATAATAGATCATATTATGGAGTGACTAGTGGCCGATCTTTTTATGAACAATGTTTACCGTCGAATTCACTCGCTTTTGGCTACACTTCGACTTTATTACATTGGCTATCAACTAAACCATGCAATTTATCTGATCAGTGCCTGGTTCATGGTTCTCGAAATGAAAGCGAAATAAATGAATTCGAACAGCAAGCAGCTCTTGATTATGCTCACTTTCTTGAATATCGATCTCGCGAATTAGTACATGGGGGCGTTTTAGTTTTAGTAATCCTTGCGAATTCTGAGAAGGATAATCGTGATCATGTCGACCCATGTAACAAAAACCGCATGAAAATCGGCGGTTTTGCCGTTCCGGTTACCGGCTCCCTTTACCCGCAGGAAGGATAAATACCGCGGTTTACCGCAAAAAATGACCCGGTATTCGCAACATGGGGATCTTCTGTACAGATGTGCTCAAGAACTTTNTCAAAATACAACTGTTTCTGTTTATCTTTTACCAACGCATCATCAATGAGTTCGAACAATTCAAGATCTGGAATCGAAAGCATGCGATAAGAATATAATGCAAATTCACTCTGTCAAAGGGCTGCCGTAAAATTACCGGATGGCTATATTCGACAAGCAATCGATGCACTTGAGATTGAAAATTTGCCAATAATCATCATTGGTGATTACGGTTCATCCCACGGTTCGAACTCTGTCTATACCATGCAATTTATCATAGAAGCATTGAAAGAAACCAAAATATTTGATGAAAACAAACAACAAATCTTCGTCGTACGCAACGCTTTGTCAACTAATGATCTATTTGAGGTTCTCGCCAATAACAGATCATATTATGGAGCGGCTAGTGGCTGATCTTTTTATGAACAATGTTCACCGTCGAATTCACTCGCTTTTGGCTACACTTCGACTTCATTACATTGGCTATCAACTAAACCATGCAATTTATCTCATCAGTGCCTGGTTCATGGTTCTCGAAATGAAAGCGAAATAAATGAATTCGAACAGCAAGCAGCTCTTGATTATGCTCACTTTCTTGAATATCGATCTCGCGAATTAGTACATGGGCGCGTTTTAGTTTTAGTAATCCTTGCGAATTCTGAGAAGGATAATCGTGATCATGTCGACCCATGTAACAAAAACCGCATGAAAATCGGCGGTTTTGCCGGTCCGGTTACCGGCTCCCTTTACCAGCAGGAAGGATAAATACCGCGGTTTACCGCAAAAAATGATCCGGTATTCGCAACATGGGGATCTTCTGTACAGATGCGCTCAAGAACTTTTATCACCTCAAGAGCTGCTCGATTACACACTCCCAATATATTGTCGATCCTATTCTGAATGTGTTGATCGTGATCTTTTCGAGAAATTCGGTCTTGAATTAGTTAAAGCAGATGCTATCAATGTCAAATCAGATCTTGGAGAAAAAATTCGAAACGGTGAAATAATACTTGGCTACTTGGCACAAGTGCAGACCGCTGCTGTCCGTACTGCCTGTGAATATCCTCTCAAACAAGCATTAATTTCTAATAGGCAACCATCAACAGAAGAGATCGTCAAAATATTGGATCAATATTGGGATTTGCATGAGAAGGGAATGAAGGAGCAGTCGTAGGATTTCAATACTGATATGATGGTTATCGATTTAGTTTTGAAAAAGATAATTAAATAAACTTCTATTTTATGAAATATGTTTTCTATTAAAGAATAAAGCATGTTACGAGCGATGCGATAACTCTTGTTAAATATTGAATCAAATTTATTTTGAACAAATATTGTTTACTCGTTGTGGCATTGCTACCTAAAAGATCTTAGACGCTGCTTTTAAACGACAAAAACACAAGTTTTTTCTTCTTTCGAAAGCATGGGTGTCAATGTGAGTTTCTTGTCATTGACACCCGCACGCAGAAAATATGAAGAGCATTCATTGGAGTTTTTAAAAGAAAATTTTCAGACGAAACCAATTAAATATTTATTGAATCGGTGATAATTAAGAAAAGAAAAAAATCGATCTAATTTATAGAATTGAGTCATGAGCAACGTCCCTTTGTGAAATTTCTGTGTCAGATAATAAAACGGACCTTATGTATTGATTTTTTGTTTCCACAAACCGACGGTTTGACTCTAGCTACCAATCGATTCTTATATCACCTATACCGCGTATTGTATGGAGTATTTTACCGTGTTATACATACTGGCAATTGTAAATCGCGAAAGTTTTTGACACGAAATGATCTGCAAATAGTACAACTTGTATTACCACTAATGTACATATTTGCATCCCAATATGTACTAAGAGAACTTTGGACCAAAGTTCACAAAGGATGAAAATCAAAATGTGAATTTTTTTCAACAGATGCATGCTTGATGCTTTCTCGTCGTTGTGGATCCTTGCTATTAGAAATAATGCTTCGGATCCAAAGTATATATTTGTAAAGGTAAAGGTTGGACTGCATTTGATTGGTGGTCTGTATCATGAACCATATCAGCAGTGTTTTTAATATCAAGTACTACAAGCAAAAGCAAAGTACCCGTGGTACTTACGATTTTGAAAAAGTACCGTGTTTTGCACTTTGTTCGGAAAAACAAAATACCCTGATGGTACTCTGTAAAATAAAAAAAGTACTTTGTTTATTTGTTAGCCAATGGCTAGCAAAAGAAGAAAAACAATAGTAAATTGTACTTTATTTTTTTTTGTATACACAATACTAAAAGTTAATTCAGAAAAATGTTTATTTAAGCTAGCCAGATGAATATGTGTATTTTATCTTTTATCTACAAGTCTTTTTTATATTGTTTTTTTTGCACAGAAACATTTTATTAATTAAAAATGGTCAATAGCATATCTTTTTTTCTTTGTTTTTCTTAAGTTTCTTCCTGTTGGCACTTTTGGTACTTTATTGTTCCTCACAAAGTACCGCCTAACACTTTGTCAATAGAAGCAAAGTACCTAAATGTCTGTGTTTTAAATTTCTGTTAAAAACGCTGCATATCAGTGTTTGTGATAAATTAATGTCGGTTCATTTCGTTGCAATTTTTTATATTATTGATGAAAACAAATTGTGTTCTGCAGATTCACTCGTTGTTTTTTTCTTTTTTTTTTATCTCAATTTCAAAACAAAACTTTTCGTAGTGCAGAATGAATTTGCTTTTTCTTTGTCTTCATAGTTATGTTTGAGTATAAAAAAGTCTGCTTAATTTCTTTTTCAGGTGTACGCATTTTCTTCGTATTTCAATAATAATAATGAGTGCGAGTGGATCTAGCAAGAAACAATGTGTTACATGCAGTAAAGGCGCAGGTATTTTCACATGCGATGGGTGCCAACAAGCATTTTGTACGAAACATGTTAGTGAACATCGACAAGAACTCAATGGACAATTAGATAACATTATGCAGGATTGTGATTTGTTACAACAAGAATTATTAGAACCATCATCGAAGAAAAATCCAGTATTGCAGGAAATCGATGAATGGGAAAAAAATTCAATTGCAAAGATTCAAGCTGCTGCTGAAACTGCACGAACAGCTTTGAAAGAGCTACTTGAGCAATCAAAAGAGAGAGTTTCAAAAGTATTTCTAAATATTGCAGAAAATCTTCGGTCATCTCATGAAGCTGACGATTTTTCTGAAATTGACCTTGATCTATGGAAAAAGAAATTGAAAGAACTTCAAGCAGAAATTGAATCACCATCGTCAGCTATGTTAATACAAAACAAACGTACCCCCATTTATCTGATGAAACTGGAAGTTAATGATGCCTCCAAAGCTCAACAGGAAGAAAACAAAGGTTCTAGATTCGCAAAACGCTCCAATGATACGCATTTACAAGAACAATTCTTAGAAAAATTGGGCGCTGTTCTTATTGCAACAGATGGTTATCTTGCTACGCATGGTGACACTAAGTCAGAGTTTGTATACCTTAGAGGTCGATTAGCCTACTCAGCAGGTTGCTATGCGATCCGATTTAAAATTGAAAATTTCACAAACCCTTATCGCATTTTCATTGGTTGTATGTCATCTAAAGTAGATTTAAAGAAAGATATTTTTAGAAGTTCTAGTTGCGTAGGATGGTTCGGATATAATCAAGTCTATACAAATGGAACTTGTATTAGCAATTGCCAAAAGACAGGGTATTACAGTGGTAAAATACAAGTCAATGATGTTTTGCAACTTATACTCGATTGCACAAGTAAACAGATAAGACTGCGTCATGAACGTTTGAATACTGTATGTACTCTTATGGTCAACGAAAATTTAAGTCCGTTTCCTTGGCAAGTTTTAATTATATTAGGTGGTCCTGGCGATACTGTTCGAATTTTACCTAATGCATAAATCTTTGCAAACAATGAATAAACATTGATTTTTTTCCAAAATAAAATAAAAGTTTCAAACCTACAGTACTACATGACAATTTTTACATTTGCTCACTGAATATTTTAATTAGAGCTATGCATCCATAATAAATATTTTCATTCATGAATGCTATAACAAGAATTTAAAGTGCTCTTCAATACATAAAAAGAGAACATTGAACAAATAAAATCATGTATTGATACTTTTATCTATTAAAACAGTTCACTATTGCAATAAAACGAGAAAATGTATTGTGCGTAACGATGTTGAACTGACTTTACCTTACGAATCATCCTCGACAAACATAGCGTCCTAAATAAACATTGACTGTATTGATTTATATGATGTTTCTTTTGCGAGTCATCAATTGAAATAGACTTATCGTTAAGACCGATTAATTGGTCATATTGGAAAACGAAAACGTAATTAGTATCTCATTTGCTGTTGTTGTGCTGCATACAGCGGTGCACTTTTTGGTCAACCTATTTAGTTTTGTTTGAAACTGTTCGATTGTACGAAGAATATCTTCGAAAACAAACTTGCTGCTTATCTCTAATAATTTATTCGAGAATTCAGACTAGAAAATTTTCATCTTCCAACAAAAGCTTTTGAAACAAAATAACGTTATCACCAAAACAAAGCAAAAAAACAATAATAGGAACGCGACCAATTTATTGATCGATAACTAAAGATTATACTGCCAGACTGCTATTGGAAGACGGCGAATTAAAATAAGTTCTTATACTACCAGCTGGTAAACAAGCAATATCAGAATTAACTCGAGCGGTTCCATTATGTGCAGCTATTTCTTGCCACGGTGTTTGTCGAACAAAGCGTATCAGTTTACAAACTTTATCTTCACTTTTTTCTTTTCCCGCAATACCATTTGTTATCATCGTTGCACTGGAACCGATAACATCGGCAAAATTTTTTAATTTTTCACCGAGGGAAAGTGTTGATAATTGCGTTATATTTTTATCATGTTTTTTAAACCATAAATAAGATTCATACAATGTTTTATTATTTCCAATACGTTTAAGATCGTCCGCAAGAGCTTTTATTGACGTATAATCAAATATATTAATATATGAATGATCAGGCATATAACGTCGATAATCAGGTCGACCACTACGACCAGCAACAATAGGAATCGAACCGGATTCAACAGCTTTAACTAATTTTTCCGTTACATAATCAACACAATTCGAATTTTCAATAGCAATAACAAATTTATATTTTTTATATGCATAAATATTATCAGTCATACGAGCTGCATAACCTTGACGATTATTTAAACAGAATCCATAAGAATCGATTTTGATTTCTTTCATTAGTTGTTGAATAAAATCTTGTCGAGCATTATGCGCCTAAAAGAATATTCTATTAAATTTAATTCAAATGCTGTAGACAATGAGTATTATTTTATATTAGACTAAATTTGTTTTTCGTAGAGTAACATTTTGCATCCTACTGTTGAATAGATCGCTTCGATCATTGCTGGTAAGAAAGATAAGAACAACTTCAAACGAATAAAAGCTTTTATGATGATCAGAGACATAACCGACACTTTTTCTATGTCTTTTTGTTGCTTCAAAGTAATACCGAAGTGTTCATTATTGGCACTTGTCTCTAGTTTCTAATTGCCTCCTAAAACAGCATTCTACTTATGTCAAGACGATGATTGTTTTTCTTCTATCATTTTCGATTTACTAATAGTCTCATTTTTCAAATCTTTCCTTTGTTGAGATATCAAAAAGTGTTTTTTTTCATTTGTAATTTTTACCTGTATTGCAATATTGATACGATACGATAACGACGTTCATTTGATTATATCGTCTTACAATTTTATCGTTCGTAATCCAATCCTTAATGCAATCCTATAGTTTACGATGAAAGAAACGACGAAGATATGTACTAAAGTAACTTGTAAGAATACAGATGAGATTACACACAAACCTTATTAATATCAATAGACTAATGAAATCACTCAAGTTAGTATCATATTTTCTTTTGCATAGCCGCTGATCTCATTTGTCATTAAGTAAACAATAGTTTACTTTTCCTATTTTTAACATTTGAAGATATGAGCTTCTACTTAACACTAAATCGTAAAAACTTACGGCAATGTAATAATCTAGTAGAAAAGTCCTCAAGACCTTAAACAAGAAAAGGTCATTTATTTGTTCGCAAATAACATAGAACACTCTAGTCTTCCCCTTAAGTAGATCATCAATATTTATTTTCATTTCAAGTGAGCGAATTTGTTCTTCAAGCGTATTAAATACGTCATGATTGACTAATGAAGGACAACTTCTGTTCTCTTGAGACAGTTCAATAAATCATTTTCTATGAAACGAACTTAGTGATAATCGAATAAGAAGATCTACTCTTCCGGTCATGCGAAACACAAGATGTCGCTTTTTCTTTTCTGAATACTAATTGATAAAACTTACATTACAATTTGAAATAATCCAAACAATATCAGCGTTTTTGTCTTTTTCTTCAAACGGTATTGGTGGTGGTTTAAGTAAATCAATAATGTGTGTATTAACATCAAAATAAGTAGCTGGTTCTGGATAACTATCATCAAGATTGTAGGACATTTTAAAATTATATTTTGCCCACCTGTCACCTGTTGATGAATGTACTTCGCTTTCCATGATAAAAGCCATAGTGTATTGTTGTTTTTCTTGATTTAATTTCAGATGACTAAAAGGTGAATCGTCAATAGCAGGAGCATCGTGCGATATAACAAAGTCAACTTCATCGATTCGATTCTGCTGGCGTGTCCATATAAATGTTGTATTTGAGGATATACATTGAACTTTGTCACCTTCTTCACTACCAGCACGAAAAAATCCTGTTACATCAAGTGCAAGAAAATGTTGTTTTAATGAACGACCTTTTTCGTCAACTGGCCATAATTCGTTTCTAAAGCACAGAAGAAAGAAAAAACAGCGGCAATGCCAATATCTCATTGCTCAACAAATATATTTTTTATTAATCTTTACTTTTCAATAACTGTTGTTGTGTTTTGAATAAATACATTCAGTAAACTATTTTTATTTGTCGTTTGTATTAATTCTTGATCTGATAATAAATCAACCGATGGATGATTGTAATCGATAAGATATAAAATAAATATAATTAAAATTAGTATGCTAATCAGAATTGAAAACGAAAACCGCCGTCGGGATCGAACGAATGGTGACAGATGGCGAATAATAAAGCGCATCGCACATGTCGTTATACAATATTAGTGAATAAACCGTTAATAGCAAATAGAAGCCTGAAAATAAAAAGAAAGCAAAAAACGAATGAATCGTTCTTATCTCTATTTACTTTTTATTAAATATAGATTTTATGCATGCAACATAGTATAACCTCTTAGTATCGGCTCATACTTTTTCTTCTATTTTTCTTCGTTCTTTCTTCATAATGTCGTTTAAAACAAATTTTTTCTTCTTTCTTTCTTCCTTCAACAGTACACCTACCAATTTTCGAGAAGACTATAATGAAATGTTCTGTTCTTTTTTTGGTCTGATTTACTACTAGCATAACAAGCTAATGCAGTTTTTATATGCGACTTGGGATCAGAGGATTTTATTATTATTTACTCAAAAAATATTCTATATTTATGGAAACGTGCATGCACAAGTACTCTCGAGAGAATACCAGATGATTTCCTTGCATTTTAAATACTCACGGAAAGTGTTATATTAGCAATCGATGATTAAAAGCGCCATCTTTTGTTCTTTTTTTTGCAATACGAAAGCAAGAGAAGAGGATATGGCACAGTGTTAAACCAGATGATGGTTGAAAGAGAAGCCTGGTAAATTTTCAAAAGAAAAAAATTTTCTTTTGCATTTGTTTTCGACATGTCATTAAAAAGTTTTCCGATTATTTTCTTTAACATGGGAGGGGAAATGGTCTACATATTAGATCAACGCTTATCCGCTCAAGAGATTGTTGATCAAAAAGCAGCGAAAGGTATAATAAAAACAAAATGAGAATGATTCAAACTAATTTTTATCTAGTGATAAATGATATTGTCGGTGCGATGTTTAATAGTAAATTTGTCGATGAACTCTTTCGACCGCAAGAACTGTATCCGAAAAAATCTGTTAAACAAATCTTCGAAAAATTAGCGCACTCAAGCATTATGAGGCTAAATGAAGCTAGTATGGACAAGGTAAGTCATTTGTTTTCGATGCAAAATCTTATTCAAAAAAATATTCATAGCTTCTAAAAATCAGCCGTAAGATCTTGAACATTGGATATAAAAATTTTCGAATTACACTATCGGATGGAATAGCTATTTCATCTGATTGCCAATCACGATGCAGAAATATTCGAGACTATAACTACAATCTACGAATACTATGAAATTTAACTTCTTCGTACTCTCGCGTATGCTTGTTCTCATTTACAAAACAGATCTCTAGATGAATGAACGAATGCACTTATGCATTCATGGATATAACCGATATAGCAATGAAATAGAACGATCTGCCTTTTGACCTTAGGGAATATCCAACACATAAGAATAGATCAATAGCATGTTAGAAACTACGCTGGACTTGTCAAAAGAGAATTTCTCATGAGATATCATGACGTATGTTAGTGCGTGCTGGAAATTTTGTATTCTCATCAAACCATATGCTTTTAGTAAAGGCGAAATGAGATCTTCTTAATGTTTTGTCATTTAAATTCACCAGAGACTTTCTTTTGAAAGCTTTTCTTTATTAAATTATTTCTTTTAGCTATACGATCTTATGACAATGTCTGTGAAATTTCAAATAATGCTTTGTCCATGTGCTGCTGATATTATTAAAGTTACTTATAATCATGTGAATTCAATGCGAAAATTAGTTCGTAGTTCAACAGTACTTGATCTATTGGATAAAGCATTTATAGCTTTCAATAAAGTTTGTTTCATGCGAAATAAATTAGTATACAAGAAAAACAAATAACTATTCTTTTGTTTCTTATTTGTAGCAATTTGAACGGTTGAATGATGTTGAATGGTTACTTATTCGAGACACAATACTTTTCTTTTTTCAAGATGTTCATATTCGAGTAAGAACTTTATTGTTGGAAGAATACAATGTAATTTATTTTTCTCTTCTATAGGTTTCTATTTTTCTTCGAGAAAACTTACAAACACAGCAAGGACAATTTATTATGAAAACAAACGGTATTGTTCCAACTGGCTTTCAGACACCCGGTGAAATTCGGTTTGTTTAATATGAAAATTTAATTAGCACTTCAAATTGTGTATTGGTTGATTTTAGAACATACAAACGAGGCCGTTTGAATAATACGCATATATTCAATGCCGGTGAACGTCATGAGCCACCTGATGATAAACGTACTTTTCATCTGGGTCTGAATATGTAAGAAAAGGAATATTAACAATAAGAAATAAGTCTTCGTGTTTCTATTTTTTTTTTGAAGTTATTCACGAAGTAAAAATTCAAGTGAAAGTTTATTAAGTGACAGTGCTGTTCGACGACCATCGGTTATGGTCAATGCTGCATCAGATATTGTAAATAAATCATAATTAAAATATGATAATTTCAAATGCATTTTTCTCTAAATAGGAAATGATTAATCCTGATCCTAAAATGATTGCTCAACTGAATCTACTTTCTGATCTAATTGGAAATAGTAGTAATTCAGATTCGTCGCGTTCTGGCCTTGTAAAATTATCATTGTTCGATGATGACGATGATGAAGATACTGGCCCACCGTTAGCTTTTCTGATTCTTTCCGGTTGTACATTTTTTCATATAATTCATTTTATTAGAGTTCAAAAACATGCTCAAGCATCATCCACAATTAATAAACGACCCAAAAATGACGATATTACAATCGATGTATCAAAAGTAAGTCACCAAAACAGAGATGGACGATCGAGAAGTAGTATGCACTCTATATCAGGTTGATGCGTTAAGAATTCTCTTGTCCTCATTGTTTTGCTACTATAAAAGATATGCTCGATGCTAAAATAGCCGGATTTCACAAACTTTTAAAATATAACACATCCATTTTACACAGCGGATGATGTGCCAATTGCCAATTGAATAAACCGAAAAACAAAATCTTATCCGATGTATTAACAATAAGTGCAGCAATCATTTTCTTCTAAGCATCGCTACTCAGCAGTTGCTATTTTTTTTTATAGTAAAAGAAATCAAATACTTTATATCTCACAAATCATTCGGTGGCAAGGACCTGAATCAGTTTAGTTACTGTTAAAAATAAAATAGCTCAAATTTAGCAACCACCAAAATATTTCTTTTTGTTTTAGCGTAATCAAAACCCGCGATTATCTCATGTTCTACAAGACCTTGATTTTGATGAACGTCCAAAGCGTCGAGGAAAAAAAGATGACGACGACGACGACGACGATTTATGCGCATTGATGGATCGGCTACCTAGTGACACTGGAAATAAACGACGTTGAATATGCTCCATGTTCTGCGTGATTATCTTTATTTTTGCATTTTATTTTAGAAAGTCATGTTCTCGAATCAGCTCGGAAGATGGCACTCATTTTAGCTTAATGTTTTACATTTTTAGAGAGAGAGAGAGAGAGAGAGAGAGAGAGAGAGAGAAAATCATCGATGTTGCTCTAGTGAACTTTTGTACTTGATATTGTTCTTGTTTGTCTATCATATGTTATGTTTTGATGATTGTAAGCAATAAAAAAAGAAGATAAACTTGGACGTTTTCTTTATAATTATATATAGACGATAATTTCGTGATAATCCTTTCAATTAGGATAATTAAAATACATCAATAGACAAAATATTCAGGAATATCTGAATCTACGTTGTATAAATCTTATTTCATTCGCTTTCACTTCTGATGCCTTTTGATATAAGATTTTTTTGAAGTTCGACAATTTTATCCTACGCCAGAAATACTCGAAAAATTTTGAAGTCATATTTCAAAAGTACACAAGTCTTTATAAGTTGTTGAACAAGATTAAAACATGAATGAACATTCTTCTTACTTATCCGTACTATTGGCACAATCAGATCGATTCCTTTAAATCACTTATTTTTTAGTACATGTCTTTTTCTAATAATCATATATTGGAGCTTTGTCGTATGATGTGTGATCGACATCCGACGATTTTTTATCTTCATATGGCAGTTTGCCATTAATAAAAATCCACCAAAAAATATGTCATCCATTTAGCTTTCAAACTCATATACATACAGCTAGATTTTCATCATTGTTCTGAAAGACAATTGAAAGCTGAAGTGAGCCCGACGAACAACTCGCGTCTTCAATTAAACTGTATGTTGATGTTGGATAATGTTACATTGCCTTAATGTTCGACATCATTCGACTAATTACAACTAATAAGAAGATTATTTCTTGTCGTAACAAATCTGTATTAATTCAAAAACAGAAAGTAAAGAAAAACAGCCTGCATTATTTCGTAATATACACAAAAAAAATACTTTTCTACAAAAGAAAAATGGCTATTATAAATTCAAGAGACTCCGTAAGAGCGAAAAATGCGACAAAATACAATGAGAGTTTCTAATTCTTGTCAAAATCTTCCAAATAATCGATGGGAATCGATGGAGAAGGTGATACTTTATCAACGGTAATATCATCGACACTACTAATTATACTGTGACTAACACTATGGCTCATGCTTTCATCATCATATTCGATTGGCAGATCTTTACCTCCATTGGCTGAAGTAGTTTTAAGAATTGTTCTTGTGCGTGGTGTAGTATTACTTTGAATAATAACATCAATTTTTTTCAATTTTTCAATTTCAGCTGCTGTTGCATTATGTTTAGAAAATATTGAAGCTGAGGCATCTTCTTCCTCTTGTTCATCACTACTACTACTACCGCTATTACTACTATCATTAAAATCTATTAATGGTGGTGGAACAATATCAGTCGATTTCTTCACGACATTTGCACTTGAATTGGCTGCTGTTGATAGTGCAAAATCAAAAGCAGGGCTTTGTTGATTTTTTGATGACGACGACGATGAGGATGAAGAATCTGATGGCGGAGATTTTACTTGATTAGCAGACGATGGTTTTGGATCGTTACTAGTTGTATTACGTGCCGTTAATAATGGCGCTAATCCTCTATGAAAATTTAAAAAATAGACATTTATATGATTACACTTCTTCAATAGAAGTAACAGTATTCATGTTTAATTAGTTCGCTATGAGGAATGAACGAACAATGAGAGAACAGTATGTTTATAGGACTCGATAGATTGCTTAGCACTAGTCAATTTAACGATATCGATCATATTCAGAATGAAAATAATACTTCATTTTTTTCTTATTCTATTCCTTGTGTAAACATTGTTCAATGATAAAGTAAGCAGACACGTCAGTTTTATAAAATGCCATTAGATGGACATTGAAATATTATATACAGCTCTTGAATTTCCATTGTCTAATAAACTGACGGCTAGACATCATCAAGTCATTTCAAGGCTCAATTTTTCGATCAAAGAATGATTTTATTTTAACGGGATCAAAACAAAAATGATTTTGTTCAATAAATGCATCATGGTCGAGTCATTGAAATATCTATTGAATAGGCGTGAAGAGGAAGTTTGCTTCTATATGAAAAACTTAGGATTAAATTACATCAAGCAAATAAATTATATAATTTACTAATAATATTTAAAAACAAGCAAATAGAACTCGCTTAAATTTCGAATACTAATATAAAGAGTTTATTGAATAAAATTAAAATTAAAATATCAATACTCTATGCTAAAGAACAATAGAATTGTAAAGATGAATGAAGGAATGAATAAAAGGAAAGGCATATCTAAATTGTTTTTTTTTAAACTGTTGCACATACTCACGCCTAGACTCGACAAGCAAAAGTGCTATTGGACTATGTTTGCTTTTTTTGAAGCATTCAAGTTCATCCTTCCGATATGTTTCTTTTTCTCGAGTAGTTTCGAGTGGTTGAAATGCGACTCAAGAGTCAGTACTGTTCTTTTTCTAGGTTTCCTCTTGTCGACTACCTGAAATTTCGATCAATGCCACATTATCGAAACGTGTTCGAAGAGTCGACAATCGATATTCAACAGGTCTCGATGAGCTCGACATTGTGACAGAACAAACAAAACTTTCAATCACTCATCACAGTCATTGTATACTTTTCAAAGCCTGCTTATACACACAGACGTGATCATTGGTTATAATAGCAAAGTATTAAGTTTTATAAAAAGCTAATTGGTAGAACTTAGATGAGAATTGGGGGGGGGGGGTGGGGGGGATTG